CCATTTTAACCTAAACTCTTTGAAGATTCAGTTTAGTAATGAACTTGATAAAACTCCTTTAGAGAAACGTTCAGGGAGAGGTCATGTGTAAATTAGGCTTCTTTACTTTTGCTTTGATTMATTTAGAGCTGGTCCCACGTAATTCACCGATACCCAAATGAGTCTAAATTTGCATCACTTCAGGTGAGAATGCACAACTCAGCACCATGGAATGCCTCTTGTTTCTTATTTTCCCCCGAGTGGYAAGGTGCCCGAGTGAAAGGGTTCTAACTGAGCAGAAGCATTTGTGTAAGAGGCTTTTCTCTTTTTCCCCTCTAAATCTGCCCCACAGCTTTTTGTGACTGAAGCCAGCGCTTCAGATACCAGCCAGGCTGTGAGCTCTGAGGAGAAAATGAGAATGCCTTTTGTGTCATGATCATGGAATTAATTGGTCCTGGAAATTCTGGGTCGCAGCCAAGAATGGGTATTTATGTGGCAAGAAAGGAAAGGAAAAGGGCGGAGCTTTGGAAATCCAGGAATACCCCTCGTTGTCGGAGCTTAGGAAAGAGCTCATAAAGTTATTTTGGCTTCTGAGTTTGTTGTGGTCAACACGCAGGATTCTGGTTTTGTGTGGTTTTGCTTTTTGTTTCTTTGTTTTGTTTTGTTTGTTTTCTTTTAACAGTATCCAAAATGAGGAAATGGGAGTTAGGGGAGAGAGCTCATTTCCAAGTGCTTTGTAGGATAAAAGCAGCCAAGCCTTTGTCTGCAGGACATCCACCGCTGGCTACCCGAGGCTTGCACTGCCAGCCACGCTTTCCTGGGCTGGAAATGCCGCTGCAGATTCCCGTTTTTCCCGTTTTCGCCCCGTTTTCAGGCTGTTTTCCGTGCSGGCAGCTGGGCCTGGAGCACAGCGCGGGTCCGCAGAGCTGAGGGCGGCGAGAGGCGGCGGCGGCGGGAGCGGCCTGGCCCAAAAACATTCGAAATACTTGTGACTCCGTGTGATAAGATTAGCCCAGGCGCTGCTGAATCGCATTGTTAGGACAAAATCGCTGCTTCTCACAGGGTTTTTTTGTTCCGCGGTCATGCGGCGGGGTTGGAGTGGGTGCAGATGAGTGTCAGCTGCTGTGGGGCCGTCCCGCACCCACGGCACAATCCCGCACCCTCCATCGGGGCTTTGCTGCAAGGAAACCCTTTGTCACAACAGTTGTTAAAGTCTTGGCATTGTTCTTTACAAAAATACTTGACTAAGACAACTAAGCAACTTTAATCCGTCTTGCTGTTTTTTTCAGCGATGTGTGTCTGCATGTTAAATTAAGGATATTTTAGGTTTTTCTTGTCTTAGAATGACTTTATGGATGCTAATATTTCCAGAGCTTTTCAAGCTCAATCATTCCATGATTTTTTTTTTTCTTCCCCCAAGGATGAGTGTATATATTAAAGATGTGTGTTGGAGAATCTGTGTATAAGGAAAAAATGTGAAAAAAAAAAACCCAAAAAACCACCAAAGGTTAAAATCTCAAGGAGCATCTKGTTACTACTTTCAGAAGGTTAAAGCCTCTTTAGACAAACAGTGATGATCTTGACAAGAGTGCTTTGAGTTAAGTTACAAATTACTGCACTTTAGGCAATTTTATTCTAGCATAGGATGTCTGTCCAGTAAATTAAAAAAAACAAAGTGGAAACTTTTATTCCAGCATAGGATGCCTGTCCAGTAAATTAAGAAAAACAAAGTGGAAAACTCTCCATCTGGAAAAGTTATTAGTTTCAAGGAGAGTGAAAAGCATTTAAAAATCTGTCCAAATTGGTAAAAATGCATTTTAAGTGTTAGCTAGATGCTTCTGAAAATACCTGCAGAATTTCTGAATTAAACAAATCTTTGGTGGAGTGGTAATGGTTCAAAATGACTGAGCTTGAAGAGTATTTGATATCTCCTTTTCTTATTCATCCCAGATATTTTAGTWTTTTTTTTCCAGTCTGCCTAATGAAAAACAATTAGATTGATTTCATTCCATGATTCTCACTTCCAGAATCTCAACAGATAATATTTGCATTGGAAAAAGCCTGCAGAGCAGTAGGTTTTTTKGGGTAAAAGCAATTGTTTCCAGTGAAATTTCGGAGATAATGACCACAGTTCTGTGTATCTTCGTTTTGGCAGCAGCCTGGTTTTGTACTGATCAGAGTTTTAACTTTGCTATTTATCTTGAGTCTCTGATTCCTCTTGCTAGAATCTAGCGTTAATTTTTGAGATGGTGGAGTTTATAGTTAATTTATATTCCCATTGAAGCTTTACAGGTAGTGTTTGGAGGAAGTTTTTCAGCCTGGATGTGTTTTGGACTGCATGGAGCTCTCCTGTTTTAGCAAGAACTGTGTATGTAGGTATTTTTTTATGCTGTAGAACTGTAAGATGATCACATTAAAAGAGAGTGGGCCCCTCTCTGAAGGCACAGCATTGCCAAGGGTTAGTAAAGATGTTGGAATTGCATTGCATCAGTACAAACAGAACCTCAGAAAATTAGGTTTTTCCAAGGATATACTGCCGTTTAATCTCTTTTTGCCTTTGCTTTTGAAAGATGCTGTCTTGTAGGAAGCTACTTGCACATCACTTACACTTGCAGGTTATCAAGGCTGTAATCTGTTACTTGAAAAGTCAAAGTGAGATTTTAAAAGACATAAATCAGACTATAGAACGCCAGATCTGTTTATTTTAGAGAACCAAGAAAATGTTACCGAAGTCCTGAGATGTTGAASTTTCTGTTAGACTACTGGACATGGTGCTGAACGAGACAAACAGGAGAGCTTTTTTTGTTCTTTTGATGCACAAAACAGTGCAAAACTGGTGTCATTTATTGGTACCAMTAACCGTGGCCACTGTGCACCCCATCAAAAATTGCCAAGAGCTTTATGTGCATCTTTTCATGGCAGTCAGTGGAGTGCTCCTCTGAGCAGAGAATGCAAAAACACRCACGAAAACTCCTTTGCCTTTGGATAGCCTGGTTGTGTCAGTGAAGAGATGGCCTCTTGATTAAATCCAGACTGAGTAGTTTCCTGTTAGCATGAAACTCAGCCCACAAGGACTTACTCTCAAAGCCTGTTACTGAGCTCGTCTGCCAAGTCCCTTTTCCTTTTAAACTTACAGGCAGAATTGCTAAAATAATACAAATACATGCAATCCCAGAACTTTCACAATGATTTCTAACAGTTCGGTGTTTTGCTGGCAAAYTCAGTTTTAGGTTTTTCAGCATTTGGGGTGGTTTTGTTTTGCTTTGGTGGGATTTTTTTTGGCTTTTGTTTCTTTTTCAYGTTCTCCCAACATGATGGCTTTGAGAAGTTGTAGTGTTGCAATTAATGGAAAATTTTGTGCRTGTATCACCTTTGAAAGCAGATTCTGCCCTTGTTTTGAATACACTCACATGAGAGAATGAGAGCGTTTTATGTGCACTGAGTAAATATGCCCATAAACCATTACATTGTGAGTGGGGTAATCTGCTGGACTGAAAATTAAAGGTTAAATGCAGCGGTGCAGACTTTCTTCTGAAAGTGGTGGTATTGTGTAAYTAGTTACTTTCAAAAGAGTATTTTCACTGTAAGATGAAAAGTCAGCAAGAAAATTGTGATTTTTTTTTTTCAACCAAGTTTTGCTTAAGAAAATTTGAATGTAAGAGAGTTACATATTGATGACAACAGATTCTGTTAGTGTTCCTGTAATGACAGTATCCTACATCATTCCAAATACACCTTTAGGTCATGTATGTAATTCATATRTATTTCCAGATGTACCTTTAAGTCAGATATATTTCAAGTTACGTGCCTTTAAAAATCCATAAGATCCATGGAACAAAATTTATCAAAATTTTTCCTGGTCTAGTCTGATTTGTTTAGTTGTTTTTAATACAGACAGTAGGTTGTATTTTAATGTCACTACAAAGGTTTGTTGGATCTCATTAAGCTGGGAAATGAGATAGCAGAGCTTTGGAATAATATGAAGGACAGAACTTTAAAATTATATTAAAGACATCTATTTTGTTTAAAACAGAAAGGGATTTGTATTAGAAATAATTCCAAAGCAGTGAAGGGTAGTGATATAAATAGGAAGTGGGTGGGGTGTCTCTTCTTAATTATCTTATTAATAGATGATTTTTTCCTTTGTGTTTTGTCAGTATCCTGAGCCACGGTTGGTAGTGAGTGTCRTTAACACGCTATCTCCATGCCCTCAGTATCAAGGTGTTAGTGTAAATAGTGGACATTTTTTATTTATAATCCCATTTTAAAAGCTTTTTATCCCAAATACTTTACAAAATAGGATTTAAACCAGTCACAAAAGTACTTTCCTGAACTGTCCTCTAAATAGAGACAGAATTTAGGAAATGTTCTTTCAGAGTCAAAGCAGGCTGTRAGCATTTAAAACAGATACCCACACACAATCCCAAACCCTAGATTTCTGGATAGATATTGTGCCAAGTGAAAACTGTAAGAGAAAAWTGAAATGTTAAAATGCCTTGTTTGCAAGATGGTTTTGACGCCTTCCTTGCAAAAGTATCTTGACATTTTTTTTGTATCCAAATGTGTTCTGACCTTGGGTCCTGTGAGACAACCCAAGACTGGTATTTTCAGCAAGGGAATCAAAAGTGCCAGTGCTTAAGTCATGGTTGGTTTTCATGTTTATTCAGAAATAAAGCACAGAATTACCACTTTTGTTCCCTTCAGTAATATTATTCTTTGTGGGATAATGGATTGTCTTTTAGATAATAATATATGGTAGAATCATGYGTTAACTTGATAGTGGTCAGGCTGTAAAATATTCTGTGGAGCATATCAGAGAAATATTTTAATTATAAAGTTACTTAAAAATTATTCCATGATTTGATACAACATTTAGTGCTTGGAGAGCTCCAAAAATTGACCAAATCATTTAGTAACTGATGACGGCCAATTCCTGTGAAAAGATGGGATTGAATCCAGTGGAATCTATGTCAGGGATCTGTTTCCTGCCTGACCTTTGTGCTGTTTCTTTCCTTTTGTAGGGGGAAGGAGACCAGTTACCCCCAGAGCACACCATCAGACAGTATGAAACATCCAAGATCAGGGCTATAAAAGCTGGAACTTTGGAGAAACTGGTGGAGAACCTTCTCACAGCTTTTGGAGATGCRGATTTTTCCTACATCAGCATCTTTCTCGCAACATACAGGGCCTTTGCTTCTCCCAGGGCAGTGCTGGAACTCCTCCTGGACAGGTAAGAGCCACTGCTGTACAATGAAAATGGAGCCATCTTTCACATCACAGGGGAAAGCTGTCAGGAACTTCTTCCCTTGMTTTTAGTGGACATGGATTTAATAACCTGATGTCAGGAGTACTGCAAAATCCAGAATTTCAGCATAAGCATCCAGTCTGTAAATGCATTGCTGCTCACATCCCAACTCTCATCAAAGCTTAGCTAAGTGAATCACATCTGGCTGCTGAAGAATCCAACTGGACCAACACAACAAAATTAATACAAGTTTTCCCCCAAAAACCCAACAGAATGTGTGGGTTGCAAAGTCCTATCTAGAACAGATTCCAGAGTTTTGCTGGGTACTGATATTTTCAGATCTAGTCCTCTTATTTGGGGGTGCTCATTTGAAACAGGGATTCTACAAATTCTACAAAAGAAAGAATTTGCTCTCCCGTTCTATTACTTCATATGAATATGCAGCCATAAAATTTTGCAGACAGCCCAAGAAGTGCTAGATGTTATAAGAATAGCTTTTATGGTCAGACTGTTATATCGTGCCTGTTATGTCTGCATAAATGCTTAGAACACACAGCATTAGTTTCTCACCCAAAATTCTGACTGAGATTCGGCTGGGTCAGGGGTGGTCTTATTTTGGGAGTGTCATATTTATTGCACTTTCAAAATCAGTGATTCACAGAAGCAGTTGCTCTGGCATGAAGTAATTAGAACAGAGAGGTGGCATAAGAACTCCTAGGGTTTCATTTTGGTTCTCCCACTAGGARCAACGCATGGATAAATTATCTGTGTTTTTCTTTTGTGTGTGAAAAGGATAATATTGATTGCTTTGTAGGAATGCTGTGTGGCTCAATTAGTAATGATACTAACAACAATAACCTGACAGTCAGGTAAGAAGTCAGCTGAGAAAAGAGCAGCCAGCCTGTAGAGCAGACCTGGGTACATTTGTATTGACTGCTCTGAGCTTTACCTCTCAGTCCATCCCARTTCTGGTTCAGAACACGAGGAATAAGAAAAATTGGTAGTGGATGCATGCAAGAATATAAGAACATTGAGGATCTAAGGAAATTGGCCCTGTCTTCCTCCTCTGACACTGATTTAAAGTGGTGAAAATGTCAGGAGAGGGCAGGAAAGCCCAGGAGAAGTGTGTCTGTCGAACAGAACTCTCTTTTCTGAGTGTCCTCGTTTGAAACCCACAACACTGAGCCCAGTCCTGATCTTGCTGGCTTGTTTACCTCTCTCAGCAAGTTACCACATCTCCTTCAGAGGAATGGGCTGYCTGACTTTGTCAACATCATCCCCAGCCTTTTATAATACACAACAGGATCCACAGGAAGTTCTAGGAGGTCACCACTTCCTTCCCCTCTCACAAATTCTTAGGAGTGTAATGGTTAAGAATCTATGGATGTTTCTCTTGGCTTTTTGAATATCATGGATAATCTAAAATTTTATGTCTTAAGAGAAAATATAGATTAAACTTAAGCTATAAAAGTTAGAATGATTTACATGTAGCTGAGGAACGTGGACTTGTTAAGAAAAGCAGATGTTGTGAAGAAAAAACTGAAAAAAAGATGGACAGTAATTGATTGTAACCCGCTTGGTTTTCATCTCTCCATTAGTTCAGAATAAGTAGCCAAGAGTCTGCATTTTTGCAACTTTTCTTTAGTGATACTTGTTAATTATCAGAGTACAGAGATGAAAGTGGGTGTCAGTGCATAATTTGTGGGTTTTTTTTGGTGTGCCAGTGATGAAATAATGAAAAACGCAATCYCTTTTAAAAAACCAAAACAAAAGCAGCACAGTTTTTTAAATTTGTTGCCAGTTTTAGTTTCCTGTGAAGATCTTGAGCCCTGTCTCTTATTCTTCYGGATAGAGGAGGGTTGTGGAGTAAGGGAACAGTGAGGAGTAACAGTGCTGAGCAGTTTGGTCCAAGGGAGCACAGTGATGTGACCAGTTCAAAAAAGGCCCTTATAGCTCTTTACAGGTGAGCAGCTCCTCGGGAAAGAGGAGGAGGGGACAGCATCATATCCAGTTRCAGAATATTTTATTTTGTAGGGACGTGCTCACTGGAAAACTTCATCGACRATGTGTGTGTGGAAGCTGGATCACCCTGAAGCCCAGTGCATTCAGTTTATGCTGGGTTTGCTGCGGGTGCTGCAGAATTGTCTGATGAATGTGTTAGACATACACAAACCCAGTTTATACAAAAAGTCCTGGGACTCTTGGGAAAATGTCCTGGGAAATGTGGATATCCTGTACCCTAAGTGTGTGTGGATWCACTTAGGGTACAGGATATCCAACACTGTTGGTTGTTTGATGCTGACTGCAGAGTRTCCTGTCCAAGCAGTGCAGTACTGACTGAATTTGGGACAGGAAGCATTTATGCTGTCCAAAAGCAGGTGAGGTACTCTTCCTTGAGTGAGGGAGGCAAATAAAAAAAAAAAAAAGCAGATGGTATATTTAAGAGAAACTTAAGTTTTAGAAACAGTTTTAGAAACGTGGTTGTTGTATTTTCTTTTATTTGCTTCCCTCAGGACTTCATATTACCCTTTTGCTTTTGATTAAACTTGAGACAGGCACCCTAATAATTTTTTTAGATTCAGCCTGAAAAGGTTTTCTTTTAAGATAGATTAGAAGTCACTAGACAAAATCTTGATGGTGTGTTGAGAAGTCTGTGGGATGACTTGTGTTTCCAAAGCTATTCAGGAGTAATTGMACATTCACATCCCTTTAGTATTTATGGAAGTTTGGCATCCAAGTGCAGCAGACAGCTTTGGAAACCGGCCAGGCTTTTAACACTATATGTTCTGATATTTTCTAGTTGTTTTGTACAAGTGGGGAGGGAGAGTTAAAAGAAAAAGATCGTGTTGTTATTTTGATGTGAAAGTCCTCGATGGAAGCTCCTGGAGGGAAGGAAGGGAGGGAGGCTCCTRGTGCTTCTGGGTGTGGGGGTACAGKGCTGTGCCTTTGGTGTTSCCAGGGGGTTGTTCCACAGAGTGATGGAAGCCTGAGTTGGTCAGCTGTCCAGATGAGATAGAAGCAGGCCAAAYTCCTCTGTTCCATATTGTGCTTTGYCCTGACAGTCATGTTCCTCGGAAGCAGGGCCCTGCTGGGCTTGGCACAGATAATGTAGCAACTGAGCCCATTYTGGAGTTTTCAGAGGAGGGAATTGAGACTCTTTGGTGGGAGAGTTGGAGCTGGATAATGACAGCAGAGAGCAAGTTAGTTTTGTGGTTTCCATTAATTCATTTTGCTAGAGGATGTTTTGCTGGAGGGTGAATGGAGGGTGAATGGAGAGGACGGAGGAGGCTGAGGGAGAGCATTGAAGGGATGGGTCCTGCAGTAGCAGAGCCACACATTTTGGGACAGCAGCTTTATGTGGTGTTTGGCTCACTGCTGTTCTTGTAGCATCTATTATTTCTTCTCTTTTTCTTTTTTATCAGGTGGCTTGTATACTCRGTAAAAGAAGTGATTTCACTTCCATGAATTCACATGTGTAGGATTCAAACCACCTTATTTTTTTTCCTGAGGATCTGGACTTCCGAATTGCTTGTTTCAATGCTTACAAGCTTATTTAATGCTTGCTTTGGGGCTATTGCAGAGACCACCTTCCTTATTATTTCTGAGTTAATCTGAGTATTTTCCTCCTATGCAGGGCTACATCTCTGTTTTTCAGCATTTAAACATTCAGATTACCTATGACATTCTGGTTTCATTTGTTTACTCAGTCCCTTAGAGTGGAGTCTGTAAGTTCCCAAACKCCAAGCAAGGCTGAAGAGTTCTGTGGGCTACAGGATCCTTTTGTTTCTCGTGTCTCTTTTTTGTATGCAAAACATTCCTACAAGGCTGGGCAGTGAAAGGCTCTTTGTCAGGGAGCTGGTGAGAACAGAGCGCTGGAAGGCTGCAGAAAGGCTGCTCTTTACATCAACTGTGTCATTAACTCCTCCTAACCCGTATTTAATGACCTGTTGTTCAGGGAGGGATGAGAGATAGGCAGAGATTTACATCTGGCAACAGAAGGAAGCATTATATCCTTCTCCAGTTTTGCATGGAAAACTGCTTGCTCTTCATTGCTGTCTTACAGATTTCTCCTGTAAAACTCAGCTTGGGTCTTTAGTGGGATTTAAACACAAGTGCCTAATGTTCTGCAAAGACATATTTAATATCTCATGCAATAGTAGGAAAATCACATTGGGACTCATCTCAGTAAATTTTGCTCAAAAAATTACTGGCAAGTTTTGAAAACTGAATATAAAAATTCAATTTTTATGAAAATATATTTCCCTYAGCAGGGAGAAAGTCCCTTTTGTCYACTGGCTAAGATGTGTTTTAGGYATTTTACAGAGYAGATGGCAGTGGAGAGTGAAATCCTCTCCCTTGGTCTGGGATTCTTATATATGAAGCCTTAGACCAATACTTTCGAGGAGCATAGAACTACCACCACTGAAACATTCTTGGGTGAGTTTATGACAGTTCTGACATGAGCCTTTGGGCCGACACAGCTCCCTGTGTTGTCTCTTGTCTGGTGTTACCAKGTTATTGTAGCACAACCACTTAAGGATGCACTTGTTTTAACCCTTCAGATTATTTGCAGGTGTAYAGACCTGGATGGATGAAATCAGCTTGTCTTATTCTGGACAGTGAGTGATGTCCACCCTCRTTAAACCTGCCTGTAGAGAGCCATGCAGTTCTTCATGGATCATTATGTCTYAGTATAATCCATAGATTATTATAATGATATAGATGATATATATATATATATATAAATTATATATTATAATGATATAATGTATATATAAAATAGATTATTATAATAATTCAGATATATTATGTATATCATAGTTATATTATGTATATCTGAAGCAATGGGCACTCCYACTGCAAATGAAGTGCATGATCCTGCCTGCAAGGCACAGGGTTGTGCCTTGTGGGTGAAGGATTTTCCTTTGGCACTGTTAGCCTTATGCCCATGGTTTCCTCTTTCCCAGYGGTGTTTTCACAGTATCATGGGCTTTTCCGACTGACAACATGAGTTTGGGCACGCAAAGTGAGCACTTGCCACTTAGGGAACTTCRGGTGAAATAACACTTGGAGCTGGAAGGAATGTCAAGTGCTAGAGAAACAGAAATKGTATTGGAGAAGATGGTTGTGTTGCACTCTGGTTGCACACTGGAATATTGCCCTGGGAAAGGATGGAGAGAAAATAGCTCAGAGCTGTGAGCAAAGACACTGCTTTGGTTCCTCCTGTGTGCAGGCTGCTTCATAAAATAACAAGTCAGGTTGGAGGATACTGGCTGTTTCTTTAGGACGTTTTCCCTCCTAAAAGAAATAACTTTCAAGCTCCTTAATTTTGCCTGCCTGTTAAGATTCCTTGTGGTTTCAACTGGAAGTGCTTTGTAGTTGTTTATGGTAATTGTATATGAATGATGTTGTTTGGGATTTTGCTTTTATTTACTAGAGTTTCTTCTAAACACTCATCTCCTTTTTCAGGTTTGGAAATCTGGAGACCTCAAGCCACGGAGAAGTGGCAAACCTGAATTCCTTGGAATCCGAGATGGTACTCAGGGCGTAAGTGCGGATTTGTGCTGTGGAGCCGGGCCTGGGCAGGATTTGCTCTTGGAGGAGGATGTGGGCAGCAGAGCTGTTGTTTCCATTGAAAATTCACAGCACTGTTTGCATGCTTAAACAAGCTCCTGGGAAGGCCAAATACCAATTGTATTGTAACATATCCAATAATACAATCCARGGATCTTTTGCAGGGAAATTGTTTTGGAATTAAACACGAGATRAATACATTAGGCCAACGTTTCGTTGATCAAATAAACGAGGAGTGTTTGTTTCCTCTGCCTTATCTATGGCAGTAAGTGGTTATTGCTTATGAGTGATTTTATTGTCATTACAGCAGTGCCTGCAGAGCAAAGCTGAGGGTGATTCAGGCAACGTGTGTGTGCATGTATCTTTCCCATTAGTGCCCTGTGATTTACAGTGCTGCTTTTAGAATGAAATTTAAATTCTGATGTCATCCTCATTTGCAAAAGAAATGGCAAAGCTGTTTTGAACTGCAGTTTAAATGAGAAAAAGGTGGTTTGGCTATCCTCCTAGGGTTTTATCTTTAGACATTGCATGTGAAATGTGCCTTAGGTCATCAGCATTTGTACTTTGACATCTGTGGTTTGCATGCAYTGTGGCATGTGTTGTTGTATTTGATTACAGAATGAAGATGCTTTCTTCTTGTCAGCATTACTGGTTTTCTGTTCCTCTTGCCCCATGGGGCTCACAGGAGCTCAACTCTCTSAGACTTTCATGGCTGGTAAAACATTTTGCTGCCATTTTGCCATGAGAACTCCTCAAAGAACAGCTGGTAGTTAAAACTTGGTTACAGGCACTAAGGAGGCAGCATTGTGTTGTGGGTAGAGGCAATAATAGACAGCCAGTGGTTCCCACACTTCTATCCAAACTGAGCTCTGGGGTCTCTTCCAACTGTGGGCAAACCATTTGACCTCCTCCTATCTCAGTCATAAAACATGARCTGAAGCTATGCCCTTCCTGCAAAATAGCTGAAGGATTTATACTTGCGATGAGKATTTCTTTCACCAGTATAAAACATGGTGGTATTAATCTCCCAGCTGCCTCTTCATGGACCCAGAGGAGTTGGATGATGAGATTGAGGGAAAAGGGGTGAAAGTAATCTTGGTGTCACTTGGGCTTTGGGCAAAATGCATTAATTTTTAGTTGTGCCTGGAGGTGAGTGTGCAAGCAAATAACATTTAAGTAGGAGAGTGGGTTTTTTGTTCTCTTCTTTTAGTGGAATTATTTGCCTACTGACATACGCAAACAATTTACCAGCCCTGTCAGTCAGTTCCTGCTGCATCARTGCTTTCTTCCCTCTTGGCACATAACCTTTGCTCATCCAGGGAGTAAATGGATGGAGCCTGTGGTCCTGTTCATTCAGTAGCTCTACTTCGGATGAGTTTTCTGACAGACTTTTCATTAATGTAGTCAGCACAGCTGATTTTGATCCTTTGGTCTTCCTAAGATACCYTTTATGTCTGAATTTTATATCTTTACTCAAATCCATGTCTATTGAAAGCTCAACAATGAAGTTGTCAACAAAGTTATTTGTCAGGTATAYGTGTTTTAACAGATCCTATGTAAATATGAATTCGCTTTCCTACCTTAAGAGTTTCCATTACTCTCAGTTGCTCTGGCTACTTGTCTCTTAGATATGATTAATGGTATCTGGAAAGTTGGTTGGCTTTGTAGTCCTGTTGTGAAACATGCATTTCTAGTAGTTCAGGCTTCCTCTTGTCTGGGATAATTCCAATATAATTGCRTTCCCCCTGTTTTCTCATAGAACAGAAACATGATGTAATTGTGCAGTTGGTTTTATATGACTTGGAGAAATAGAAGGAAGAAGCAGTAGAACCTTGTTATTTCTTGCCATTAACTCTGTATTTCTCAGAGGAAAAATATGTCGTGGGGAAACCTGTGGTCTGTGGCCGGACCTTCTGCATTCATCAGACTCCAGTTGTGTCAGCTCAAGGGCTTTAAAAAGCCATTTGGGCCATTAGAAATGGGGATGCAATTTAAAGCGTTTCCACTGGTTTGACGCAAAATAAATGCTGCAGAAGATAAAAACAACTGAGGGAGGAGAGTTTATGATCCCTTAAATACCTCATGGAGCCTGAAARAAGGAGGGGGTGCAAAAACTGAGGCTATGTGTGGAAGGAACATTGTCCTGTGTGGTGCACTGTAAGCCCACAGTTCCTGGTTTCTGCACTGAAATTCTCTGTGCTTTTTGTGCTTGTAGCATAGAGCTGTGATGTATTTCGAGAAGAATGCCTGATATAAATGATCTCTTTTTTTTTTTTTTTTTAATTATATGAATTTTGCATCCAGTTCATGTGGTTCAGAACCTGCAGGTCCTACTAGGGCTTGAGCACAGCCTTGTTAGAGAGGCTTGTGGGGGTTTTAAAGCTGGACTGGTGTTCCCCCACTCTGCAGTGATSCCAGACTGCTGCAGTGATGTGTAGCTCTTACTGACCCCAGATCACTTCAGCTGCATGAAACATGCCTTCCTAGGACCCCTTCTGCCAAGGGGATTTTCTTTTCTTCACTTCAGCATCATTCCTGTCATTTTTGGGCCGTTGGAGTTGTCAAAAAATACATTTTTCAATGGGGATTTGACTTAATAACATGTAATGATGTCGTTTAAACAAAGGTACCATACTTTTCAAAATACCTTGGATCTTAGAGTYGTGAGTAAACTAATCAAGACCACCAGAAGTTTTGTAAGATTAAAACAACCTGCATTTTTCTTTCCCTGTCAGGACCCACATCAGCTTTTCATGTTCAGTAGCTTACTTGCCACRCTTCTCACTACCTTCAGTCAGACAGCAAGTTCATGATCACAGGTAACAGAAGAATAAAGCACAGAAAAGGTCATATATTCCAGCTAAACATCTGAGTTAGATGGGCTTCAGCCTGTGTTTCCAGAAATGTGATGCTGTGTCTCTCTTAATTGTCTGATAAGACAGTTGAAAGGAGTAACTTATATGACCCTCTACCTCCTATAAGTAACTTTTTTGCTCCTCTTGTTATCATATCAAGAAGATTGCCTTGTGCTGTGTCTCATTCTGCATATTTTGKGTTGAGGGGTGACAGAGTTCCCTCCACATTGTACGATGCTGTTATCTTTGGAGTCTTATACATTCTCTGCATGATTTTTAATTCAGGACTTCTGTTCACATTTAAAAAGATGTGTAAGACACCAAGGTGTGTGACAATTCAGAATAAAGCCATTTATGTATACATTCAACACAAATTATCAGCATGTTGGAATAGCATTAAGATTTAAAGAGAGGTCCATAAAATTTCTGTTATCATTCAGTTGCGTTCTTGGCTTTTAAAWGAGGTTGTATAGTTCAAATTTTTTGTTTGGTACATATCACCTGACAAAGAGCAAATGAGTAAAGAAAGTAGAGCAAAAGGTGGTTCTTTTTCTTGATCATGTCTGATATGATGGCTCTCTGCAGCTTATCAGCAAGAGTCATGGAAAACCTGAATGGGATAGTCACCTCCTTGAGATCTTTGAGATCTTCAGCACTTTTATTCTGGGAAGGACATCAGCAAGCCAACTAGTGCTGTGTGGGACCTTCAGTCCTCCCCAAATGGCCAAGGAGATAGTTCAAAACAATGCTTTTGATGATAGGAGCTGTCACCTGATCTCTGCTGGGAGCAGACCTGTTCCTCAGTTAACAGTTAACTCTGTTAAAAGGTTGGGTTTTCCATGCAGGTGATTTGTGGAAACGACTCCTGCCCTATTTTCCTCCTGTAGTGAAGGATGGTGTTAATTTTGRTTTCTGGGCCATCAGTCGCTGCTGGCAGATGGCTGCTCCCAAAGCATGGACTCCGTGAATTTCAAGAGGTGGTGTGTTTGAGGAARGCAGTGTCTGCTCCTCTAAGGCTGGCATTGAAGACCAGATTGAGGAGTGGGAAAGGCACATTAAGCCTTCTCAAACTAAAATACTGTTGCTGCTTGTATCTTGTGGGAGTCAGTGGCTCTGCAGGATCCCGAGATGTCTCTGGAGTGGGAGGGTTCCAAGGCAGACTATGACACTGGGATCCCTTGCTAAGCCTGTGACACCTGGAGAGCTGAGGCAGCACATCAACAAGAAGTGCTGAGCTGGCTGCCACAGTTTTAAAGATTTGTGTTGGTGCAGCTCCCAGAAGTGATTCATTCCTGTCCAGACACACAGAAAAATACCCAGGCTGGCAGTCCAGACTTGCCTGCAATGTTTGCCTTTGGGGAAGCCTAGTTGAATGTTAACTAAAGCTAGTTCCTTGGAGACCTCACTCAAAAATACAGGAGTACAAGCCTGRTACCTGTAGGAAAGGTTTTTCAAGAGGCAGACAGTGTTGCTGAGTTGGTCTGTGGACTTGGACCATGATTTTTTGTTTGTTTGCTTTCTAGAGGACTAGCATTAGTATTGCCATGGCTTTTGAATCCTTGGGTAACAGCAAAAAGTCYTTTCAAGCCTCCTTTTGGATTAGAGGTTTATGGTTTCCTTCTGTTAGTGGCTTTGGTTTGTTGGAGTCCATTGGAGATGCTTTYCCTCAGATGAATGACACGCCACAGAAATTAATCAAAATTCTTGGGGCTTTTTTGCTTGTCTTGAATGTCAGCTCGGAGTTGCATCTGCTTTATTATCAAAGTGTGGAATTTATTTGTTATTAAAACTTGGAATGTGACACAATTGAAAACCACAGACAAAGCAACTTGAAGCTAAACTGAAATCTCGTTTCATTCCACAGCGTTCAGGGAAAATAGTTCAAGTAGAGAAAATGAAGGAATTAATCAGTGACCACATGACATGTCTTGCATGTTCACTTCTTCTCTTCTGCATTAAAGTAGCAAATACCAAAACGTTCAGTGTAGTACTACAGCATTTGGAGTTTTTCATTGTGACAAACATTTTCCTGTGGCTTTTTGTGCATTCAGACCTTCCTGACTGAAAACTTGTCCTTTGGTTGCTTCTGAATCAAACAGTCCCACTGGAAAACAATGTGGACATTTACAGCACTGCAGAAATAAAACTGGGCCTGAAACATTGTACTCCAGGATAACAGACACCAAAGGAATGTGAGATAAATGGAAGAAAATTGGCTGGAAGCTTCTGATACCTGGGAGATCCATGGTGGAGAGCAGTTAAGATGCATTTCATTTGGGAGAGCAGCAATCATCATTCATTTCAGTAAAGCCAATTAAGCTAAAACAACATCAGGACCCAGTGTGGCTACATGAGAAGTAGAATCAAACAYAGGGCAGTGTAAGCAGTGGAAGAGTGGGAGAGTTATGAAAACAGCTAGAACCAAGCAGAAAAGAATAATTAGAAAGAAAAAATAATGATTGGCATCTCAAAACAGAGAAGAACTAGCAGATCTCTTCCTTCAGTGGCTTTATGTGTGTCCTGGCAAAAGGCCTCCCATATGTTACTCAACAAGTTTTTCCCAAATCAAAAGGAGCAGATATTTGCTGGAACTCATCAGGCCAGTGTTTATAAACAGACTGGGTGTGAGAAGCCACCCTTGCAGCAGCCTGTTCTTGTGGTTTACTTACATTTTACCCCGATTTAACAAGCAAAACTGAGAAAATGCAAGTGGCTTAATTTAGTCTGTGTGAGCAAGCCTGAGAGTTACTGCCTAGACAGTGGAAGAAAAGGGAATAACCTTTTGTGGAGTATTCTCTTGATGGACTTAGCWATGCATTTGGCAAATTACAGATAGTTTTGTGCAAATCTCACAGAATTTCATAAGAAATAAATCATTTAACCTCTCTTTGCAACTGAGGTTCCCATTATTCTCTTTAAGTGCTGAGATTCCCTTCTCATTCTTTAGAAAATAATTGTGGCAGGAAGAAAATGTTGCTTTTCCCTTTTTCATCAGAAATGTTATATTTAATTCCTATCTTTAAATTATTTAATTTCCTATCTTTTTAATTCCTGTCTTTAATATCCTACCATCAGGACTGTTAGAGTTGTCTTCCCCATGGAGACAAGGCCACATAGGATTTCTGTGTGGCTGCGAGGTGGGAAGGTCTCATTTCCCACCTYCTCTGTGCCCTGCTGAACTGAAAGAGCTGTTGGACTTGGAGCTGCCCCAGCCCTGTTACCTTCTGGGCAGCTCATGGGCAAAGTGGGGTGAGTTCTTAGTCCCAGTTTGTGAGCAACAGGCTTGGATACACTTCTACCTACCTGGATAGGCTTTGGAGACGGAAGCCCTTGGATATGGGTTGTGAGCAAAGCTGGTGTGGAAATSAGAAGGCTTTCAGATAGGTGTGAGACTTGAAAGCATTGCTGAGCAGAGCCTGGACCCTGTGGCCAGCAGGACAGGAGTTAAGCATTGAGGCGTTTTTATTACAGGCAGRAAAGGAAAAAATTTATAGCTCATAATCAACCCATGAAAAATGTTGTCTGTGGTGTTTCTTTCCTGTCTGAGCTCTTGGAAGGCCCCTGTTCCTATCTGGGTCTGTTTCTTCACAAGGGCATGTAAAGCTGTGGCGGGTGAGTATCCAGCCTGTTTCTGGAAAGCTGCATTCCCTGACRCCCTGGTGGAACAGCTGGGCAGCAGGAGGTCACTGGGGCACAGTGTACCTCTTCTCTCCTTCCTATTTTCTCTCTTGACTGAAATGATTTTGCTGGCAAAGATCAGTGTCTTTAACAGCTGTGAACTCTTCACCCTGCCCTGGGAGACTGTGTCAGCCTTAAACTCTGTTTATTCTTCAGCTTARGAAAGTGGACACCAACCAAGTCTCTGGAAAATGAGCTTAGTGTAGAGAGTGTGTGAAAAATATTAGTACAAGAACTTGCCTTGTAGAGAAGCTCCTCCTTCCAAATCATGGCTGAACTGGTAAATGGTCATAAGAATGGAATACTCAGCCTGGCTTTTGGTGGTGGGACCAGGAGGGACAGTGGTTTGTGGTGTGGGTGTGGAAAAGGAGGATGGAGCAGGAGGAAATGCACAATTTGGACATGGAGCGAGGCACAGTGTTGCCCGCCTCTGGTGGGAATGAGAGGRAAATGCTGTGGGCATAGGGCAGTGGTGTTTGTGGCTGTTGGTGCTGCTGTGACAGCATTCTGGRTATGTTTGGGGCTAAAAAGGACAATTGAAATGGGGAGGGCAGTGRGAGAGCCTGGGAGCATCACTGGGAGCATCTCCCTGTTGTGGCCTTTCCTGGCCTTGGGATGTGGAGCTGGTCTGGCATCCTTRGCTGTGCCACAGCTTGCACTGAAACCTGAAATCCTGAATGTGTTTGCATGTTAATTTTTGATTGTAAATACATTTGGTAGCTCTGAAATTGTAATTCCAGCRTTTCTTCTGACAGCAAGCCTAACCAAACAGTATTACCAACAGATTTCAAAATACTTTAGTTGAAAATTCAAAGTTRCCACATTATCGGTACAAGAAGGGCAAGAAACAACAGACTTAAATGGATGGGACTTGTGAAATTAAATGTCTGGTATTAAAAATTAATTGAGTTTTGAGGAAAAACCAACACAGTTCAGATGGGACACAGAATGTGGGATAAACTCTCTTTACTGTTTCTAAACTATTGGTTTATTTTGGATGCTGCTGAGCAGCTGAGCTGACCAGAGACTGCTGTGGTTTCCCGGCTTGCAGCAGGAATGTGCCAGTATTTGTGCACAGCTCCAGTARAGAGCTTCCTGGGCTGGAAAGAGATTTGAGATACAGGGATGGTTTTGGAGACATGGGAAGTTCTGGGTCTTTTTTTTTTCAGGAAGTTTAGGTACTTATTGTGCCTTTTATTCTGAAATAAGGAGCTTAAAGCTTTAAGAAAAGTGGTTATTTTTCAGTCAGTTTTTAGTTTTTCTACACTGAGTTGAAAATTGTCAACAACACAGCAAATTATTTCTGGAAAACCATAGCTTAAATTGTCCTATTTTCTTACAAAATCAAGTTGAAATGTTGAAAAATCCTTGCAAATGTAGGATCTAAGGGCATTCCCACAAGCTTACATTGTGCAGTATCTGAGTACCAATCTAACAGATGGGTGTGGACAAAAACCTCCATAAAGCAGGAAAAGCAGACAAACAGATCACTTTCCTCTGCTTCAGGCAGGGTGGAAAGCACGCTGAGTCATCAGCTCTGCTTTCCCCTCATCCCCCTCAGTCTGTAGGATTGTCCATGGGTTGGTGTCCTTTTAGATTCATGCATCTAAGAAAGTCTGAGATAACTTCCCTGAAGCAGATCCAGTGGTCCTAYAGCTCCTTGAGCATCCTTTTCCTACCCCACCATCATGAGTGGGACACCTCTCAATTGTGTGGTGCAATTTGACAGCCCCTCCTTGTRCTTGGACTGAAAATGAAGCTAAGACTCTGCTGATACATTTTTAATCACTAAGATTAGCAGGAAAACTCTTGTCTCCTGGTTCAGCTCTCCTGGCCTGGGCAGCCTTGTGCGGCAGTGAATGTTTTATCCTCCAGACAAGGAAATCCCACTCACAGTGTATGCCCATGGGAGTTAGCTTTCAGGATTGACTCCTTTTTCCTCCATGAAAGCCACAGTTTCATGAGCAGATAGGCTTTGCTGCAGATAAGGAGGAATATGGTGTGGAGGGATATRCAGCTCCAGTTTGGTCCCCAGACTCTGCAGCTGGTGAAAGGCCCCAGAGGAAGCATTTGATWTAGCATTTCCACTGGGAAGGAGCCATGAATACCTTGTTTCCTTCCTGCTATTTTCCCACAACATACCAGGGAGTGGTTAGGGAGCAAACACAGAGCTTTTGGCCYGGGAGGGAATGAAGGAATTACATTGTGCTGTTGATGGTGTGTGTAATGTCTGGTGGTTGTTAAACATGGCCGTGGCACAGCTCAGCACAGACACGTCAGGTGGGCTGTGAATGTCTCACGTGTTTGTGGTTCTGAGGGACACAGGTACACTCAGTTCCATCTGCATGCAAACACCATGTTCTCTCTGTTTGCTTCTAGTGAAATAGCATCAGTGTTACGGGCCTGGCTTGATCAGTGCTCTGAGGATTTCAGGGAGCCCCCCGGCTACACATGTTTGCTGAAGTTGCTGGATTACCTGAAGAACAACATGCCCAATTCTGACATGGAGAGTAGGGTGCAGAACCTCTTGAAGCAGTTCCAGAACCAAGAAGTGGAAGCTGTTGGTGAGTTACTSTTCCCCTCTCTTTCTGTTCTCCCAGGCTGTAAGGGCTGTAAATCCCTGTGCCCCAGGGATTTGTGTGCAGTACCTTTCACCACCTCTCATGCTTATCAATAATATTGTGAGGCTGACTTTTGTCTTGGGTTTTTGTTTTTTGAGAGGAGACCCAACCTCTGTGTGAAGCTACAGGCTGTGTGAGGGATGAAATAGTGTTACAGTGTGAGGTGCCTATGTCTGTTCATCCTGGGGTGGCTTGGGAAATCCAACACTTCTCTAATGTTTACCAAAGCTTTGAGATTGCTGCAGCAGCCAAGTGGTTAATTGCCAGCACACTTCCCATGTCACTGAGTTAAAACACACAGCTGCTCTCTAGCTGGGCTTCTCACCTAGCCCACCCACCCAAGAAAACACCAAACAAACAAAAAGCACAATATAGAGCTGCGACAAAATACAGCTTGAGTCACAGGCTTTGTCCTGGGCTTTTCTTCCTTGTTACCATCTTGTCAAAGGAAGTGACTGTGGTGTTTTTTCCTATTGGAGTGGCTGGCTGCTGGTATCCAAGGACAGAGGAAAATCTTACGTTATTGGGGGTTGCAGTCTGCTGAACAATAGTGAACTGCAGTCACACAAACCTTACACATCCCCGTATCCTGCTCAGAAAGCTTCCTGTGGCAGAGCTGGGAAGTGGGGAGAGCTCACGTAGGATGTGTATGAGAACTGGAATCAACTTCCAGCTCTGGTGGARGGGCGAGAGGGAATGATTCATGCCATGAAGGATAAAGGAAATGCCAGAAAAAAAACCCCATTCATGCCATGAAAGTCATGTCTGCTTAATGCTCCAGAAATAGCATGTCAATAGATAATACTGTGAAATGCCAAATTAACTCAGGCACRAACAGAAAAACGAGTAATGCCCAGAGCCTAGGCCTGTATTGAGCACAGGTAAGGGAACAGCAGAGTGAAGATGTGCCTAGTGCTGACTTTTCCTGGGTTGGGTTCTCCCAGGGCAAACAAGGAAAGTTCATGAGATCTCTATTTAGGTTCATCTGTTCTTCAGAATGAACAGGAATTCCCAGCAGCCCTGCTTCTGTATTTCTTTCCTCAAGTGATAGATGAAAAGGTTCTTTTTTGAATCATAGATCGGCCAAATGGAATGATAACATTTTCCAAATTGTGGCYGAATAGAGGCTGGTTATTAGAGTAAAATAAGAGGAGGGCAATGAAATTAAGCTCTGGGGTCTGCAGAGAAGAGTTCTAGGATTGCCTTGCTTTGTCAGTAAGTACTTTGCTTACCATCTTTGTACRTTTTCTTTCAAAATTCCTGATACATTGTCTGCAATCGTCACTGATAATTACTGTCCTCAAGCCATTCCTACTGTGTTCTGAATTTTGAAATTTGGTCTCTAATCCTACAGCTTGATTTGGGTAATCAASCCTCTGTTCTGCATCAGCCATGCCAGTAGATTAGATTGCAGTACCAGATAGGAAGATAAAACCTGCTCCTGGCCTTAATTCTTGCAAGTTGAGCAAGTCAGAGCAAGGAGGAGGCCAAGGCTGCAGGCTCAGGAGGGGCACGTGCTGGCTCTCAGTGCAATCAAGAGGCAGCCGGGCTGTGAGAGGGGTGAATGGATCACAGGGGTCTGAAGATGATGAAATACTTGAGTACAAGAGGATTCCAGCGTGTTGGAAAGGAGGGAAAAGACTGCTGATACATTTAGGAAGGAAAGAAAGAGGCTTGGAAAAAGACATGGAAAATTTACATTGTGCTCCAGGACCTCGTTTTAAGCATGCTGTGAGGTTTTGGGTAGAGCTGCAGCTCAGTGCTTAGGATTTTCAGTTGAATTTCAAGAGCCAAAATGAAAAGGAGGTTTTACAAACCAAAGGGAGTGAGATTCTTGTAGCAGTCCAGCCGAAGTCCATTTAATTTGTGAATTTTTATAAACCAGCCACAGGAAAGTAGCACTGGAACAGAGGTTTCCCTTTATCACGTGGAGATGTGTCAATAAATGGTGCAATTTGAATGTACAGATGGAAATCAGCCTGTAGATATAACTTGTTATATTAAGACTGCAGCAGTTTACATTGGTGATTGTTTTGTTAATTAGTGGAGGAAGGAACAATGAAGTATTTTGAACAACAGTGATTCTCTTACCACTTTATCTGCTGTTGTTGCTTTAATGCTCTGCTTTAACTGGGTATGAAGTCTTGCATAACATACTTTSTCTTTGTAAATGGAATCTCACCAGTAGTAAACTCAGTTCTCTGATTGTCTTCGACAAGACCCTGTTTTTGTCTCCCTCCTTATGGAGCTACTGTTGCCTTACAGTAAAAGGGATAAGGATTTATTWTCAGGGATTTCCTGTTTGACTTCCTCCTCTACCATGGGAAACAAAGGCATTTCTTGGGGTTTGAATTTTTTGTTCTCAAGTCCGGGAGCCAAAAGGTGAGATGGCATCAGTTGTGGAACTCTTTCCTTTCTGTAGTGGGTCAGGTTCCTCAGTGAGGACAGTTCTTCTCTCTCACCTCCTCTCTGCTGCCCAGTGCAGATYTGGAAGGACCATTCAGCAGAATGCTCTAGGTGCTCACTGTATTCCATTTCCTGTGAAAAATTCCCTGAGAGGAAAGGTGAAGGATGTRGAATAAACTCTCTTTGGTGTAGCCCATGTAGCCACAAATGGTGCMAAGAAATCTGGTATCTCCTTTTATTCTGGATAGAGGAGCATTCCTAATGCAGTATTTTGGGGGTGTAAGTGCAGCCTTATGCCTTTGTAGTTAGATATTTTTTTTTCAGATTATAAATACTGAAAAGTAGATTAACAAAATTGTACAATGTCAGGAAGGAATTTTTGTTGAGGCAGTGGTGGTGGTGATTTTTTTTTTCCTTTCAGAAGAATAATTAGCAAGTGGGTCAAACCACTTCTCTGCTAAGATTGGTTCTCTCTGTTTCTTTTTACTCCACCTTTTCTTTGCCAGTTTAATCTTCTGGTCATTTTTCTCACTCAAATACGCATTACCATGAGGCATTACATCAGGCAGGGCCCTTGGGGCATTCTGCTATAATACAGTGATGTTGCAAAATAAACAAACACCTGCTTTGATTCTTTGTTTGCTGGATAAATTTACTGAGTGTTGTTTTCCGTGCTGGCCAGATGGGTTCTGTAGCACTTCCTCCAGTGACCTAGTTGATGGAGAGGAACTGGAGATCAGCAATCCMGAAGAATTCTCCTCTTTTCAAGACCACGTTGTGGCAGAACAGTTGACATACATGGATGTGGTATGTAGAGTRTTGCATGAAATAAACTTTAAATAAAATAATAGACAATATTCATTTTATTTGAAGTTACATTTCCATAAGTATAGGTTTCCACAACAGATCTGCTGTTGGGACRGGGAACACTGCTCTGTGGTTATCCCAGCTGCTTCAGTCATTGGGCTTTTTCTTTCTGTCTGAAGGTTTGGGGTTTTTTTTTAAGTATTCTATGTGGCCTCAKTTTCAAAAGTTATGATTTGGTACCTGAGAAATAGCACATTTTGACTGTATTGCTACCTGGSTTAAAGATGTCTAGCTGCTCTGGACTGTAATGCTCTAATTTGTTTATCTGTATCAATCTCCTCCAAAACGTCATTATATAAAAAATTTTCACCTTGGTTATGCAGCTGATATAAAGATGTYCCTTATTTTCCCAGTATYATTTAGCTGACAGTTCTTCTAGGGYRTCAAGATAYAAAGAGKATGCCAAAGTGTATTTTAAACTAAGAGAGAACAAATGCTTACCTTTTATACSATATTCAATGTAGATCAGGTTTGTACCCTAAACATGTATTTCTTCTTGTGAATAAAAGAGGTTTAGGAGAAACCTGCTCACTTACCACACCTCTGTTTCACTCCAGATGCTCTTCAAGAGAGTTGTGCCATACCACTGTTTGGGATCCATCTGGTCTCAAAGGGATAAGAAGGAAAACAAGAACCTGGCTCCGACTGTCAGAGCCACCATCACTCAGTTCAATGCAGTCACCAAATGTGTCATCAGCACTATCCTGGGGACCAGGGAGCTCAAAATCCAGCAGAGAGCCAAAATCATTGAGAAGTGGATTCATATTGCACATGTAAAGCATTTATTCTGKTTCATGTTTTTTGGGTGGGTGCCTTGGAGTGAGGGGGTTGGGAGAGGAAAAGGGGTTGTACACATTGGTCCCAGGCCATCTGAGCTCTAATTCTTTCTATTTTAAACTGATTTTTACTGATTTTCTTTGTAATACCAAACAAATATTGCCCTTCCTCTCCTTATTGTTTCCCCACCATGGAAATGGGGTTGATATTTAGCTTTGCCAGAGCTTTAGAGAAGTSCAGATGGATATTTTTAGCTCTTCCCTTGTCCACTGATGGAATTGCTCCATCCTGGAAGGCCAGGGGTCTGGGCAGGCAGGACTTCACTGGCGTGTACAATCTTCTCCCTGTCGTCCATGTGCCTCAGCAGAGCTTCCAGGAGGGTCCTTTACCAGATTCCATGTTTCTTAATCTTTGCATGAAAGGAGTTTTCCCATAACTTTGCATAACTCTAGTTTGCTAATTTCTTAGGTTTTATCTRTACTATTTTACTGTGACCTTCCTAACTCCCCCCGGAGCACTGGGCAGCTGGCTCTAAAAAAGGCTTCTTTGGAAGTGAATCCTTTTATGGCTGTGTGTTGGCTTCTAAGAATCACCTGGATTCTTTCTGAGCCATCCAGGACAGTMAGAGAAAGCTGAAGCCAGAAGCTTTCCAATCTTGGCTGTGTAATTTGTGCTTCCAGAGGCAGCATTCAGCCCTGGCACCTGAGCTCTAGTGGCTCCATGGTTCAGGACACTGGTATGGGGAAGGCTTTGACCTCTCCCGTGGCACTTACGTCTGCTTGTTTTTATCATCATCTGATGGATGCTTCATTGCCTGTGTGAGTGGATTAGGAAATTTGATTTCCAATTTCTATGTGCAGGTGTTTATGCTGTGGAGGGCACCAGCTGAACGGGCCTTCCTGGGGCAGGCGAGGATGAAGAGCTTCCTCATCATCCCAGGGCAGAAAGGGGCCTGGGGAAGCCAGGACAGGCACTGCTCCCATCCCACTTGCTCTGTGGGTGGACAGCTTTGTTCCACACCCCTATAGATTCAATGCCTCTCCCTTTGCTGAACTCATACACGTAATTAAATGCTCCAGTCGTGGCTAAACACATGAAAAATGAAGGTGCACGCTGTGCAGGATAATGGCACATACACAGCAGCTGGGTGCACATACACTTAGCTGCCCACTTCTGAAGAAAGCTGCTTGCTTTGTGCATGCAAATGAGTGTTTTGAATAGTTAGGTGCCTGAATTAGAAAATAATCCACTCATTAAAGTACAGTTATTCACTGACAACTAAACTTAGCAGCACGGAGTTCCACATTCGTTAATGCTCCATGATTTTTGGATCCATTTTCTTGGTTTAAAAGATAAACTAAATACTTTCTTCCACTGCCAGCCATCTCTGCTCCACCTAAATCTAAGGTTCCTGAGCAGGAGCAGCCAATTTCACTCAAATGTATTTTCCTTAAAAATAAAAAGTAAAAATGAAATAATAATGTCCTGTTACGCTTAAAATTTTTAAAATATTTAAAAAAAAAAAAAGAAAAGCTCTTTCTGCACAGGATTTCTAGTTTTCCCCCTGTGAAGGACACAGCATGAAAGAAACAAAGTTATTCAAGGCAGTCTTAAAAATTCTTCTTACATGCAAATGAAAGCTTGCTTAAGTTTAGTCTGCAGTTGGTTAAATCACTGAGAGCATGAAATCCAATATTAAATTCTTGTTGTGCTCTAAATATACAGCATGCCATTAAATCAAGATGGTTCCAAATTGGATCTTCCAGTCTAAATTCCTGTTGTACTGGGAAGAAAGAAGAAAAGCTGATGATTTGTGACTAAATTTGTGTTCTCTCCAACCTGAATTTCAAGTTGAACRTAAAGATCTCATTCTTCAGCGTGTCAGTCTCTGGAGAAGAGCTGTTATGTGGCTTTTTTTTTCACCCCAAACCATGCAAAAATTGCTTTCAGGTCTSGTGAGTCCTGCCACATGATCTTGAACTTGATCTTTATCTGACCTGAGTGTCCACGTGCTTCAGGTGCTGTTGGCCCAGGCTCTCTGCTTAAGCCACCCTTGGTTAAATGTAGTCTCTAATTAGCACAAGAGTTTTTGGTAGGTGYTTAGCTGGGAGAGCACCTCCCAGTACTCACCTTAGCTGTTCAGTCACTTCTATGGTACCTCATGAACACAGCTGCTGATACATTAAAGTATCTGACTTCAGTTTATGCCAAGGTTGCTTTACTTYTGTTCCATCCCACAAAGGAAATAAATCATGTCTATTTTCACTGTAAWGATCCTTTACATGATCAGCATTATTATGGTAAGAATCAGACCCATAACAATGTTGATAAGCAAAAGTGGAGTTTGAATACACTCTCACCTCCATGCAGCAGCCAGATTGGCAGGTGTTTTGTCTGCTGGGTTTGCATGTRCAGATACCTACCCTGAAGCTTGTGGTGCCCAGGCTCTTGTTCTTGAGCCACCAACAGATTTCCAGGAGTCACAGACCAGACTTTCCCTCTTGCTTCCCTCTGCTTTACCAGGAATCTKTGCTACTTTTCTTGAGTTTTTCATGAGCCTTTTCCCTCCAAGCTTTTTCTCCAGGTAATTGCATCAGAAATGAGCYGTTCTCTCTGCTCAGATTTGATCCCAAGTCTGGAAAAGCTGGGAAGGTTTTTCTCTTTAACAGTGTGCACATACTTGAATAACAGGTTATTCCTTTGCATGTCTTTGTTTTTAATTGACGAGATGATTGAGGGTGTACATTTTAAGTACCACATATAAAGAGGCAAAGCCTGGTTTTCCCCCTAAGGGGTAAAAGGGATTGGTAACTATAAAGAGCTTTTTAAGAAGCGTAACTTTTSTGCCTTTCACCGTGGCTTCATGGACTCAGATCTACTTTTATTTTTACTGGGAGAACTGGAAGCTGTGATACCACAAATACATGAAAGTGAGGAAAACAAGAKCGAAATGCCAGAGCCTGTGAAGTGTTTGGTGGCTGGAGTGGGGAGTGATATTTTTGATGCTCAGTATTTGCACAGCTGCTGCTGAGCAGTGAGAATTGTAGCAGGCATGACAGGATTCAGACAGGAGCACTAAGGTCTCTGGAGTGCTGACATTCAATGCCCCTGTGTTTCCAACCACTCCTTTCACAGGAATGCAGGATCCTGAAGAACTTCTCTTCTTTGAGGGCCATCATTTCAGCTCTGCAGTCCAACTCCATCTATCGGCTGAAGACCACCTGGATGTGTGTTTCAAAGTAAGCCTCTCCCTCCATTCCCAAGGGCTCCTTCTTTTCATCTCCTCACTCTTCCTGTGCTGTTCCTTCACTAACATGGGAAGCTCTGTCAGATGAAGCTCCCATTCCTGGGAGGCTCAGACCCCTCCTGTGAGCTTCTCTTTCCTATTGAGGGGACAGTCTGCCCTTAGGGTWACAGGATTCTGTCCTTTTTAGTATACTGGATCTTCCACAACCTCTGTTGAATAACGTTGGTGCTGGCTCCTCGCCCAGCTCGCACTCACCACTCCCAGGTCACCACAAGCTATGCCTGTTGTCTCCTCTCCCATGGAGTTTGAGGAGGTCCAGCTCGCTACAAGCCCTCCCTACTCATCTCCTGGTGATATTTCTGATAAAATATTTTCTTTAAAATCTGTTTCCAAACTACAGAATCCAGTATTGAAGATAGTATTTCTTCCAGGGGAGCACTTGGTTCTATTAAAATATTCACTGGCTGCCCCTCCGACGCCAGAAGTTGCTGTCTGGAAAAGATTGTGTTCTGCTCATTCAGTCTGTGGAAACCAGATTTCTTTTGCCTTTGAGAAACAAAACAGCACTCTGCCACACAGTATCCTTCTATATTTCTCCTCCACAGAGGCAAGGCTTTCCTTCTGCTGCCCTGTGTTTGTGTTCAAAATACTGCCAATCTTGTGTTTACAGTGTTGGGCAAAAAAAACCTACTCCTACACTTAAAAGCTCCCAGAGTGCATGGAACAGGGCAAAAATGAAGTACTTGGGTTCCCTCTCAGCTATGTTTCTGTTCCTTTGTATCCTCTGACCCRTTCTCACACCCTGCAGACACTTCAGAGCCCTGCTCAGGGGCTGCTGGTGGTGTTCCTTTACTGTCAGGTAAGGCCTGACTTCACTGAGAGCACCAGAATATCCCACCAAGGCTCCCAGGAGATGTGCAGCATCTCACTGTAGGCATTTTGGTGCCCTTTTATAAGTCCAGCTGTTAACAACTGCTGAGAAAAAAACAGAAACCTACTTGGATTTAGAGTGCTTGCTAATGACAAGTGATTTAATCTTTTCCTGTGCAGGGATATCCTGGTGATGTATGAAGAGCTGTCTGAGATCTTCTCAGACCATGACAATTATCTGACAAGTCGRGAGCTGCTGATGAAGGTGAGAGTTAGTGTGAGTTCCAGGCTTGTGATCTCAATGCAATCTGAGGTTTAACCCTTTTTGTAACCAGCTGCCAAAGCTCATCTCTTCCTCAAGGACCTCATGTGGTGCTTTAGGAGGAAAGGACTGTGAAACCTGAACTTTTTGCTGGGCTGAGAGCTGATTTCCTTGTTYCTGGAGGAACCTACAGTAGCCTTAGCCTGCAGAACTTGGGTACCCACAACCAGCAGGCTTTGGCAGAGTGATGTGGGTGGAAAGCAGGTCTTGCAGCCCCTCAGCCCGTGAGGTCACTGGCACAGTGCCACAGCATCAGCTGAGGAATCAATCCAGGTTGTTTATCCCACTTTCCTGTACCTTTGAACTAGGAAGCAGGGCTGGGAATTCTGAGGAACAGGATTGCCTCTCTGTGTGTGGCCAGATAGACAACAAGGCAGGCTCTGTCTGGAGCAGTTTGACTTGTGCACTCTCCTGGATGAGCCCCAGAAAGCTCAGGAGCCTGAAGGGGGTGAGGAAGAATYGCAGGGAAAGGTTGTGTTCTGCAGAAACGAAGGAGTGTTTGTGGCAGGTTTTTTCTGTTTCCATCAAGAAATTCCTATAAACTCCCTGACCAGCTTATTCCTTGGCAGCCCAGCCACTCTGGCACTTGTCCCTTTGCCCCTTGCCTTGGAAYGCTGTGTTTTGCTCAGGAGTGGTGGGTGAACATATTCAAACCTGTCAGTCTGTTTGGTTTATCATCCATTTATTGACACGTCTGGGTAAATTTTAAAGCAGGTARGACCATAATAAGCATAGAGGGAAAATGTACGTTCTGAACAGCCTGTTTAACTAAGCATTAAAAGACAAAACAATTCAGACTGAGCCCAGACCTCTGGCTCCTGGTAAATCACACTYCAGCTGCCCTAAGCAGATTTGAAAAACATTCTGGAAGCAGTGAGAGGAGAAAAATTCCACAGAATAGCTAAAACCTCTCCCCTCCTTTTAATCTTGGACTATTTGGAGGATTAATATCCATCAAATCCTCAAAGACTTTGTTTTCCTTCACTATAAATAGCCCCTGTAGGAAAGCCATGCTTGAGCKTGCCTGTCCATCCTGCAAATCCAAGTGTGGAGCAGACAGAATGCCATTGGAAACAGGGTGGCTGGCGTGGAGAGGGAGCAGGGTTCTCTCCTACTSAGCAGACATTGAAAATTATTCATGTCACATCTCTCCAGCCATTGATAATGATTCGTGCCACTGGGAAAAAAAACATGTAACTCCAACATCCCCTGTGCATCCAGGGAAATAAAGAACTGTGGTGAAATCTGTCATCCATTCATAGGAAATCTGGAGTTGTGGGGATGGGAGCCTATTCCTTGCATTTCCTGCGTGGTTTTGGATTAGTCAATAAGCCACAGTTGCTGGATCTCGGTGTTGCAGCGTAAGAAAAACAGCAAAGCTTTACGTAAGGTGGAGATGTTTACTTGGAGCAGGCCTAAGCAGGGAATTAACCAGAAATCCTGAGGTCAGGAGTGTTGCCAGAGAGCATATGGACACCTGAAGTATAYCTGAGCTTCTCTGATTTAAACTCCCAGGAGATTTTCAGCAGCATTTGGCTTTGGCCAGAGTCCTTCTGCAGAAAAATTCCCTCATAGTCATCTTTTGTGATTTCTGTCCAAAATTCCCAGTCAGTGCCCGAGTCCCAGGAAATCAACACCTGTGTGTAGACACGTGTACCTGCACAATAAATATTTTTTGCTTGTCTAACTTGTCTGGGTAAATGTGTTTAAATATATTTTACGTGGATGTAGTTGCCAGTTTACCACTTGGATTCTCTATTAATTGCCTTTTTACCTCACAGGAAGCAACATCCAAATTTGCAAATCTGGACAGCAGTGAGAAAGAAAATCAGAAAAAATCACAGAAGCGACTGCAACTTCAAAAAAATAAGGTGTATTTGGGGGTTTTCCTCCCCTTTTTGAACTGGTTACATGATTAACTCTAATTGGCAAATTCTATAAGCAGCAAAATCTAAAAAATACCTTTACCAGAGTGTGTCAGCAGGAGGTGATTGATGGGTGTAAACATGTGGTCATCACTTCCAGCTGTCTTGTTTCTGTCCTACAAGAAAGAATTCCATTATCTACTCTTGTTATACTTTAGACAGAAACACAATTTCCATGTAGTAAAATATGTGCTGCTGTAAATACTGGAGTTCTTGTGATAAAGAAAATTAGCTCTGGCAGAGCAGAAGTCTCATTTGCTTTCAAACAAGCTCATGAAGCTTCTGACATACCAGCTTGAAAACTGCACAGGCTTCCACAGAGATTGCTTTGTAAAATGTGTCTGGGTTCCAGTCTGCTGCTGAAAATGGCTTTTGTCTCAAAGCTGGCAAAGATTTAAAAGGACAGGGGGAGAGAAATCTGGGATAGGGAGGCAAAAGTGCTGAATATGATTTTTGTCTRTGTATTTGTTTGAATGGAAAAAATACAGATCTGTTTGGATGGTAGAAACAAGTGTTTCCTTCACAAGTGCAGAGCCAGACTGAACTCTGCAAGTRCTGGCAGTCTGGAAGTTTAAAGTGTAAATAATTACCCATAAAATGCAGTGGATGGCTGGGGAAGGTAGTCACTTCTTGGAAAGAGCCATCTGTGTCTTGATTTGACTTGACTGTCAGGTATAATCACACATCATTCACTAAAAATGCCCGTGGATGAAGCAGAAACTGCTCACAGAAGCTGGCCAAGACCATCCCCCAGCTCCTCCTCATGCAGCAGGTGACACAGGGACCCACAGGCTCCTCTCCCTGGGGACCTGCAGGTGGCAATTAATGGTGGCAATACTGGAATACAAGAGCACTGGGTGTTATCTGTAAGAGCATCCTGGTCTCATTGGAATTGGATTTAAATTCCAGATTTGATAATGAGAATGATATAAYGAAAGAAAACATAATTATAAGACTGCTTCTTGGTTAAGCAGATTAGTTTTATTTCATTTTCTTACACAGGAGTGCTCTGRAATTCTAATTATTCTCATTTGTCAGTTAATTAACCCAGCATTGCTCTGCTTGCTTGCAGGGAGTGATGCAAGGCACAGTCCCTTACCTGGGCACCTTCCTGACCGATCTCATCATGCTTGACACGGCCCTTCAGGACTATGTTGAGGTAATTTGGGGCCATTTTCTGGAATCCTGAATACCCTCCCTGCCTTCACAACTGAGTTTATCAATTCCTGTATCTTGTCCTTCTGCAGCTCTTAAAATACCTGTTTTCAAAGAAAAAAAAGGAAGCAATACGCTTCCTGTGTCATTAACCAGAACTTGTGTAAATTTGAGTGCATTTATCTCAAGGGACAGAGATAAATGGCTCTTCTCTGATCCCTTCCTTCCCTTTCCTTCCAATAGGGTGGCCTGATCAATTTTGAGAAGAGACGAAGGGTAAGTTGAACATTTTGTGACTGTTGATTTATTGTTGCCCTCTGGACAAGGCTGTTTGTTTTTAGCAGCTGAACCAGACCTGGTGGCAGAAGACCTTTGCTTTCCAGAACACACAGTTAATAAATATCTTCCTTCTCCTGCAGAAAACYGTGTATAGATAAAAGGGTGCAGAGGGCAAACCAGGTACACAGGACTGAGAAATAAATGCTGTCCGTCTCTCCTTTCAGCCTGATCCTTGTTGGTCAGAGATAATGAATGTCCTGCAGGAGTAAAGGTGCTGGGGTTACCTCAGGCTGAATGAAGCCAGGCCAAATATCCATCCTGGGGCTTGAGAGCAGACTTGGACTTGGCTGTGCTGGGGCCATTTCCTGCTCCAYAGTCTGCCCTGAGCAGTGCAGGGTTATTCTGGTGAAGTGTGTGCACAAGTGCAGTCACAGCACAGCAGCACGCTCTGGYCGTGTGTGTTAAGGGTTGCATTTCATGTTGCTCTGGAGCAAGTGTGAGTGCACATTTTGGACCCTAGGGAAAAAAATCCACCTTTATTGTTAGAAAACTGATTCTTGAAACTCAGCTGAAACTGAACTTCACATCAAACTAAGTTTGTCCTGGATCCCTTGTTGTATGCATTTAGAGTATGAATGAGTATCATCCTGTTTTCTAATTAGACTTTCTATTTGATTATTTCTYGTCTCAGGAATTCGAAGTCATTGCTCAAATCAAGCTCCTGCAATCTTCATGCAATAGCTATTGCTTGATACCAGACCAAAAAATCATCCAGTGGTTCAGGAGGCAGCGGCACTTAACAGAGGAGGAGAGGTAGGTGCTCAGGGCAGCTGGCAGTGCCTCTGTTCTCACCCCACACACACCTGGGCAGGTCACAGCAGGGACATGCAAACATGGGAGAGCACTACTTTTGCAAACTATTATGAGGAGGTGAAACATCCCCTTGGCCCKGGTGAAAGGCAGACAGAGCAGTGTTCTTTGTGGGGCTGCAGCCTTCTGTGAGGTGACAATAACTGAGGGGTTCTTGGATTTGTTGAATATTGCTGCTGTGAGATTGTCTGCAAATCCTCACCCGGTGGCCTCTGTCCTGCAGTTACCAACTCTCTCGTGAGGCTGAAGCAGCTGCTGATACCAACATCCTGTCCCCAAAGTCCCAGAAAAGCATGGTGAAGAGGATCAGCACGTGAGTATGATGGGGTACAGGGGGTTTGGGGTGGGAGTATGGACCTGTGTACCTCAAACAAACAGCACACATTTCATCAGCTGCAAAACCTGGCTGGGGATCCACACCCCTGCAGTGCTTTCAGGGGAAGTGCAGCCTTGTGGCTGAAGCTGTTCCTTTGTGCTGTTGGAAGCAGTTGTGAGGATTATTAATGATAAAAGAGACCAGAAATAAGGAACCCTTCCTAAGGTGTCCAAAAAAGGAACCATTTTAGTGCTGGGTTATAATTCASTATCTTTTGTGTAATAACTTCCCTGAATGCAGCAGCAAAGCAGAGTAAATGAAGATAAAGTCTGGTCTATTATTAGTCTAAATTGCTGTAGACATGCAAAAATTCTTTGCAGGATTTAATATGAAAATTAAGGTTAGCAGAAAGGCATTTGTTAATGGAAACAATCTGCCTTCCTGATGGAGAAGGAAAACAAAACCATGGGGACATGGTCCAATTTGGTGTAACAGCACAAGGATTCAAACAGGACATGGGCAGAGGAAGGACCATGCAGAGATGGGAAAYGAGAGCAGGGAAAGCTGCATGGGATAAAGCAGAGCTCAGAGATTAAAGTGAAAATATCTGCACTCTGARTGCATTTTGCAAATGAATACTGTGGAAAAGCAGTGAGTGACACCTCTCCAAACTGTATGAAATCCTTAACTGCACACTGATGTGGCCTGTGATGCTCCCTGCTCCTCCACCTGATGTGTCACACAAGTGTTCCCTTTGACACTCCTTTCACATCACTTGACCTGCATTTAGAAACCAGTCTCGAGAGGGAGAGCCTTTAAATTACRCTTCATGGTCTCCTTACTGTGTGCATCTCCAGCCTTCTAGAGACAACCTGGTACCTGTGGCACCCTGACGGGGGGCAGGAATTGGCAGCAGGGTGAACTGGCCCTTTGAAGCCCTTTTTTCTATTAAATGAGCCTGAAAATGTGAAGAGATTGAAGGGGAGTGTTGTTCTAGTGGGACACGGGCTGGCTGTGGCCTTGCAGCTGTGGGCACTGTGAGTCAGGAAGATGTTATGTTAGCCTGTAACAAAGCCTCTGGACAAACTGTATAAACACCACAGAGGAAATGGAAACAATAGGCCACTCCAGAGAGGAAAAACTCCAGAACGTAAGAGCTCTGAACCAAGGGACAGCTTTGCTCAGTCCAGCTCTCTTACTGGCTTTTATCCTTTTTTTCTTTCTGTACTAGACTTTTTCTGGGCTCTGATGTGTTCACCCCACCCAAAGAGCCACCCCCAAAGAGCTCTCCTGTAGGAGGGAGCTCCGGTGAAAGCACGGATTCAGCCAGTGTTTCATCGTGTGAGTTCAATCACTCTGAAACTGAGGATGTGTGTGTGACTCCCATCTCCAGTCCTGAGGACCCTCTGAAAAAGGTACAGCTGGGGCTCTGCGTGTCCAGGTCTCTTGGTCTTGGCTGGAGCACTGGTTTCGGTGGAATGGAGAGAGAAATGTGTGGAAATGGAAGTAATGCAGCCAGGGCTCTCGCATGGTGTTCTGTGTTCAGTGGGTTTGTTCTGTCAGGAAGCTTTGGAGCAAGACAGAGGGACAGCAAGGCAAGTGCTGAGCAGGGGAAGGAAGGGGCAGTTTCGAGGGGAGGGAGGGTGTATTTCCGCTAGTGTGCAGGCTCCCACCTGGAGCAAAAGAGCCCGTGGCACCCTCTGCTCTTCCCAGCCTGTCCCGGTCCCTGGCCAGGCTCACACCTGACGCTGTTCCTTGGATCTGCTGCCGCCTCCTGGGTTGTTCTTCCTGAGCATCCCCGCCGGCACAGGAATTGTCATTAAAATGGTGACATCAATCAAGGGAAGTTCCGTTTTCCTGGTGCAAGGACTCCCTCTGCCAGCAGGCTGGGCAGAGTGTGGGTGATGGAGGTTTTGTCTATGCTCTCTACTTTCTGCGGTTCGTATGGCACAGTGACACACCCAGACACACCAAACGTGCCCTGGGTGATAGCACTGTCCTTTCTGTTGTGCAGATCTTGGGATACCCCTCATCYTCCTGCTCTCCTGACTCTGCCACCAGCACACCTTCCTCAGGGGTGTCATCCTCATCCTCACCCTCATTCCCTGCCCTGCTGGCCCCCAGCGATGACAAGAGCTCCGTGGGCTCGGACAAGGGCTACGACTCCGACAAGGGCTCCATTGGCTCCGACAAGGGCTCYGGCTCCAGCAAGGGCTCGGACTGCAGCAAGGGCTCCGTCTTTGAGCCTGGCTCGGGCTCAGACAGCGGCTCCACCCCCAGCAGGGACTCGGGCTCGGTGGCGGGCAGTTCCCCCAGAGTGCTGCCCGTGTACAACCGGCAGAGCGGGGGCTCCTGCATCATCCGCGTCAGCATGGATGGGCTCCATGCCAGCGTCTACAAGAGCATCCTGGTGAGTGGCACGGCCCTAGGCTGGGCACGTGTGTCTGGGGCGGTGAGTCAGCCTGTCACTGCCTTTTGAGAACAGCTCTGCACCGAGCTGGCTCATCAAATCTGCGTGGAGAGGGAAAATGGTTCATGGGGCCATGCAGAACCTGTGCAGCCTGGTAGGGATGGGACGTTTGGAAACAGCTTTGGGGAAGTTCCTGGTGTGGAAACTGAAGTTCATGTTTTATCAAAAAGCCCCAAGTGAAGCACTGCGAGCACATTCAGGTTTTGACATAAGATGCCACGTGCCACGTTTTCCCCAGGAGCTGCTTTCAGAAAACAGGGAGCTGCAGGGGAGGGAACTGCCACGCCCTTTAATTGTGCAGCTTCTCCCTGTGGAGAAGGGAGAATCTCCCTCCTCTCGCCAGAGCAGCAGCCCCAGCATTCAGGCATTTGCTTCTGCTCATTGCACAGGCAGATCCCAGCAGTGCCACCAGTGCTGGCCATGGAGGACCCTGGAGGCTTCCCTGGGGGGAGCAAACAGCAGCTCTCAGCACCTTTAGTTAACTCCTCATTTTCATGGTCTGACCATTTCATGGTCCCCAAATCAGCAGGTTGTTCCCTGAGGATGGATTTGGTGAGACTGCAGAAGGCTGTGGAGGAGCCCTGTGCCTACTCCAGCTGCACTTGCACAGCACACAGCAAACCCAGGTCCAAGGGCAGAAAGCTGCAAGATGTCCAAGGAAGTGTTTTTCAGCCCAGGAGCCTGCAAACAGCTGGGGCAGCTCTTCATGGGGGCTTTTGTGGCTGGTGAGAATGAGGTCTCATTTCTCAGAGGGAGCAGACACTGCTGTAAAAAGCCACCACCTCCAAATGTCACAAAGTTTAGTGTCTGTCGGCCCCTGCCCTGCACTTTGTTACTGACTTGTTGTGGTTTTTTCAGTTCTGACACCTCTTCCAAGCACTCAGGCTTTTGCTAGTTACTAAATCACAAGAGTGAATGAGCAGAGTCTCCCAATGCAACTCCTGTCTTTCCAGATAACCAACCAAGACAGGATCCCTGATGTCACCCAGCGAGCCTTGCTGAAGCACAACCTCCAGCCTGATGCTGTGGAAGATTACGAGCTTGTGCAGGTCATCTCTGAGGACAAAGGTAGGGAAGCAGAACTGTGCTGCTGCCTGGGAAGTTCTGATGGATTTCAAAGAAAACAGTAAAATGGGAAGGATTAGAAATGCCATGGATGGGTCACAGCTGCCAGTGAGAAATCCCCTGGCTGCTCAGGGGTGGTTTCTGTCACCACAGCCCCCTTCCCACAGGCACAGCCACCTCCTGGGCACCCAGGCTGACCTCGTATGTACCCCGTGGCCAATAAGTGACCACAGGATCTTGGGGAAAGGGGGTTCTGTCACCCTGGGACCAGACCCTCACATCCTACCCATCATCAGCCTCCCACCCAGTCTCCTCAGGGACAGGCTTCCAGGGCCTGGGTCTGGCTGCCGCTGTGGACGCTGCTCCTGCTGCCGCTCTGGCAGAGCAGGGAGAGGGCTCTGCCCGTCCCATCTCACCCTGTCCCCGTCCTGTCCCCACTCTCCCCTCCCCCCTGACACTGTTCTGGCCCTATCCTGCAGAGCTGGTGTTCCCCCGCGATGCCAACGTGTTCTATGGCATGAACAGCCATGTGAACTTCGACTTCATCCTGCGCAAGAAGGCACAGCTGGTCGGCTGAGGCTGCACTGGTGCTGCCCTCCCGGGCACAGGGGGATCTTTTGATGGAGTTTCCTGTCGAAAATGTGCAATTGGAGCAATGGGCAGCCCTACTGCAAAGGGTCTGGGCTGCCATGCTTGTCCTGAGGACACCCCATGAGCCAACTGTCTCTGAGAAGAGTCTCCTTCGTGCCAGTATTATACAGAAGATGATCACCAGAATTTATTTTTATAGAACTGAAGCAAGTTCTGAGTACATGTCTGCCTGAACCAGCTGAAAACTTTTTGCACTTGTTCTGCACCAGACAATGACCCATTTTGGACCTTGTTTCCAAAGAACTTTAAAATGAATGAACTGCACTTGCCTTTGCATGAACATGGGACAAGCAAATGCTCCTCGTGTTGGATGGAGGTGTCGATGTCACGACAAGATGGTTTCCCTTGGACTTGGTTAAGCCATGACCAGAACTCGATGCCTTTTTTGTGCACTCCCCTGTGATGGATGGACCTCTTCCCAGTGTGCAATTCCTCTGCAGGAGCTGAACACTGAACCTCTTTAAAAGCCATAAATGAGACGCTGGACTGTAAGCAACCCTGATTTGAGGCACATGAAATAGATGCAGTATTTCTGGTTCTGGAGGTAGCACTGTGCACCCCTGCGCAGATCTAGGAGTTATTACCCAAACAGATTAGGATTGTTAAGGATCATTAGTTATAAGAAGAGGGCTTTATCCATGCCTGGGCCTTTTTCCTCCAGTTCTGTGGCACTGATTTGCAAAACTGGGCTCAGGTAGGTTTTACACTACATGTGGATGTAACACTTCTGTTTACAAGCAGGTCAAGCAGACAGACTGCAGGTCTGCTGTACATCCAGGAGACCCAGGGCAGGTCCATTTATGAACTCCAGTTGTATCTTTGTTTAGAGGGTGATGGGGGGTTGTTACTGAGCCTTAACCTTTGCCCAGAGTTAGGGCAATGCTAAAAGTTCAGTTTCCTCTGCTTTTGGTGTCTGTACAGTGCAGTTTCTCATGTACATAGCATAACTCCTTATGTATATAGTACCCCTCACTCAGAGGGTGTATGGCAGTGTTAAGTTGAATGTTCTGGATTTTAAAATTACACTTTCCAAATGTTTATATATAAGATGTTTTTAACTGCTTACCTGTAATCTTTATATGATAAGTATATGAATTGTTTTTCATTAATATTTGCCTGGATTTGGTCCATTTCCTTTTATTAGTGCAGATGTGTAAGAACACTTCATCCCACTTCCCTTGCTGTCATTTTCTTCCACTTCTTAATTTTTACTGTTTTAACTTCTCAACAGCAGAGCCAAAGCCCTCTCACAGAGCCTGTGAGAGATGGGGATATTTTGAAGTTTCAGCTTAAACATTACCCATAACTGGGTAGTTTAGACTGTGCACCCAATTTGCATCTTCTGCATGGAGTGGCTGAATGACTTCTGGAGGCTAGATAATACCAAAAACATGCTTTTGAGTGTTTCCATTTCTCCTCAGTGTCTCAATTTAGCCTTTTTTCCTTCTGCTCTCCCAATCATTACCTTGATTTGCAATCACAAACGAGTCTGAAGCTTTCTGTGCACAGGCATCCTGAACCCATAACAGAAGTACATGAACAGTGGAAAACTACCAGAAAAATCCAGGGGTGTTTCAACTGGCTCCTACTTTTACAAAACGCAGTGAATTCTGGGGAGAGCCAAGCTTGGGCAGCACCTGCCAAGGAACTGCCATCTGCCACCACCCTGTGAGGAAACTCTGTGACAGTGCTGGGTGCTCACCTGGTGATGGAGCTCTGCCCCTGCAGGAGCTGCTCACCAACCTCTGGGACCTCCATCATCCTTGACCCTGGCCCGAGGGGGCTCGTGCAGCCAGACCTGCAGAGGAAGCACAAGGGGCTGTGAGGAAGGATGGTCCCAGCCCCACTGTGGAACCCCCACACTCACCAGGGCGTGGGGCCCCTGCTCCCACGGGGACAGCAGTAGCAGCTTGGCCTCCAGTGGGAGCTGCAGGATGGGCACCTTTGTAGTGCCAGGGACTTCAGGGGAGAGGACAGCCAGGAATCCCCTGAGCTGGACTCCCATTAACCTCCAGGAATATTTAGGGAGCATTCAGAACAACCTGGTCTGGAGGAAGGGGCCCCTGCCTACGGCCAGGGATGGGAGCTTTCCAGGTGCCTTCACACCCCCCAGCCATCCCAGGATTCCCCTCAATGAAGCACACGCACAGCTGCCCATTTGCACCAGGTTCTATGTATTATCAGACCGGCTGACAGGTAGAAGCACGTCATCTGTAGCAGAAAGCACAACATTGATCAGGAATTATACAAAACTAAAATTGAAACCAAAACCCCAGCCACACACACTCAATGCACAGATCTGCCAGCAGGTGAGTCCCTGGATGGCAATTTCAGGAGGGAATCCTCCCACTGCCCAGCAGCTCAGGGTCTGTGCCAGCTGCCCTAAGCAGCGTAGTCTGATCACCTGGCCTCTCAAAAAGGCTTTAAAAAAAAAATACACACCATACCCTGCTGGCATGTGAGCCAACAGCAGGTACATCAGAACTCATCCAAAAAACAGGTGTGCTCCTCCCGTGAAAAAATATCCAGGCAAGTCGCCTTTCTGTCCTCTAACACACAATTCTACCAGGCTGTCAAGACAGTCACATTGCTGCAGGTTCTTTCGCTTTCATAAGCAGAGTTCGTAACCTAACTTTTAAAATTTAAAGTCCCCAAAACTCCTACCCTTGCTTTTATGGCCTAAGTAATGAGGCCTGCTGATGGGCTCTGGTGTTTTGTCTTCCTGAAGTACTGAGCTGAGGCAGGGGTGAAGAAGGACGTGGCACTCCCTTTGAGCAGGCCACAGAMAACTCCAGCCACCTCCACTTGCGCAACTTCCATGGCTTCAGATGAGCCAAGACATTGGTTGTGGACACACAGGCCTGTGCAGATGGGATGCACCAGGAACAGAAGGGAGCTGGGGGAAGCAGCCAGAGGGATGGGGCGACAACACGACAGAGGAGCACTGCTCCCCTGCACTGAACATTTTGGGGAAACATCGTGGTTCGGACAGGGATCCCTTTGGAAAAAAAACCCAAACCCCCCCCAGATGCTCGGCAAACAGGGTGGCAAAAGCCTACAGACCTACAAGGAGTGACAGTGAGGCAGCAGCCTGACTACAGCCATCCCAAAAGGCACTGACATTGTGCACCTCTATATATTAATCTTTATAAATACAGTGTTCTACACCAGGAACTGTAGAAACATTGTTCCTGGCTGGCTTCTTTCAATGAAAGCTTGCCGGGGCTTTTGCTCAGATCTGGAACACTTGTTCTTTTGGAACAAAACTTGTTCTTTTGGAACGTTTGTTCTTTTGGAACACTTGTTCTTTTCTCTCCTTCGAGTCCCACACTGTCCTCGGCCAGGGCAGGCGTCCAGCCCAAGCCCTACGCCCGGGCAGCGGTGGGAAGGAGACCACGTGAAGAGCTGCTCTACAACTTCCAAGGGTGAAAAGCCGAAGTGTGCGGCAGGTTCAGCTGCCCACGCAGTCTGGGGAGGCGGGCAGTCATAGCTCGTCCCTGGAGGATGGTGCACCCAGTGATGACTGTGAGGGCAGCGTGTCCTTGTTCTGGGCGTCGCTGTGGATCTGGCCCTGCTGCCGCGCCTTCCACGAGTGCGTCCTGTCCCAGTCTGTGGACACGGTCTCGTTGTCCCAGATGGTGGAGGTCTCTGTGTCGCTCAGGTAGCCTGGCTGCCCGGTGTAGTGTGTGGGGTAGACGAGAAGGGGTTCTGCTGAGAAGGCCTTCAAGTCTCGGGGCTCGTAGTACTCCATGTACTTGGTGCTGCAGAGAGGAGAAACACCATCAGCGAGACAGGAACCTCCACTGGGGCCAAACTGTGGGCACAGCCAAGCCAAGGGCAGCAGACTGGGGTGGAAGGGGGGCAGGGGCTGAGTACAGCCACTGATGCCTTCATTTTTAACTGCTATATTTTCATGTATCTGTATTCCTGTACTTCCCTAGTGTACAGCACTAAAGCTCCTGTTCGCCCATCTTTAGACAAAACAATTCCTCTCTGAGACTGAATCCAAGGACACCTCACTGCCTCAGAGCCCCAAAATCTGTAAACAACAGTGAACTGGGGGGAGCAGCGTGGGTGGTTGACATCATCACCTGAAGGTGTCATTGGAAAATTGGGGTCCAATATGTTCATAAGACGGAACTTATAAAAGGTGAAGATCTCATGATTCGGGGTCCATTTTGGGTGTAGCCTCAGGAGGCYTTRTCTGCCCTCAATGCACCTGTAGGCTTTCATTAAATCTGTCTGCTTTTTATTGTCCTAACTTTGTCTGGCCTCTGTTTCAGATAAGCCCTGTTCTAAGCATCACCCCAGCCACATCCTGACAACCACACCCTCCTATACAACCAGAGACAGCCCAGTGCCTCAGAATCAGCCCTTAAGCCCTGCCCCCTGTGCCAGGAGCACTGTGAGGAGTCCCCACTAAGAAGATCAGCAAGACCCAGCCAATGTCCCCCCGAGCCATAGAGGGACTCACACGGGGTGCTTGTTGTACATGATGGGCAGGAATTCATCCACGGGCAGCATCTTGCCAAAGGGCTCGGCCCCGATGAGCTTCTGGGCACCGCGCAAGGAGAGGGCGTAGCCCAGGGTCCAGTAGGAGTAATCAGCCTCCACCAGGTTCCGCACGTTAGGAACGGCTCGCTCGGGCTCCTGCACCTGCATCCTCTTGCGGCCGATGTAGCTGCAGGGGCCAAAGGAGCAGGAGCCACAGTCAGGGCACAGCAGCTGGGACAGGGCTGCTGGTGACAGTCAGGGCACAGCAGCTGGGACAGGGCTGCTGGTGACAGTCAGGGCACAGCAGCTGGGACAGGGCTGCTGGTGACAGTCAGGGCACAGCAGCTGGGACAGGGCTGCTGGTGACAGTCAGGGCACAGCAGCTGGGACAGGGCTGCTGGTGACAGTCAGGGTACAGCAGCTGGGATAGGGCTGCTGGTGACAGTCAGGGCACAGCAGCTGGGACAGGGCTGCTGGTGACAGTCAGGGCACAGCAGCTGGGATAGGGCTGCTGGTGACAGCCAGGGCAGGGCCAAGGGTCAGTTCAGTCCCAGCAGCCATCTCTGGGCCAGCACACAGATTCCACTCTGCCCCACTCCCAAACAGGCAGGGTCAATGCAGTGGGTGGTGCAAGGGTCCCAAAGGAGCCCACATGGCACAACCTGAGGCCAGGCATGGAGCTGTGCTGGCTCCTGTCCAGCAGCATCTCCAGCATGGCTGGGGTCAAACAGCGCTGCCCACCCTGAGCACGGATGGTGCCCACAGGGCCTCCCCTGAGAGCAGATCTGTCCCGATGGAAGAGCCACCACAAAGCCTGTGCCACTGTCCCCTGCACTGCAGTGTCACCYTGCAGCCCTGCGCTGCCCCTCCCACCTCCCCAGAGCCCTGTGAGGAGCAGAGCTCACATCAGCTCCCAGTCCAGCTGCGCCTGCTCAATGTCACCCATCAGCTTCATCAGCTTCCTCTTGAACTGGTGTTCGAAGCGCACGTCGTCCTCGATGACCAGTGTCTTCCTCAGCCCCCTGCTCACCACCTGCAACACCAGGGCTCCCCAGTGAGCACAGGGCCCCACCCCCAGGGACCCCCTAGCCCATGCAGACAGGAAGGCTGGAGAACCACTCGTGACATGTCTATGATATGCCGAGGCACTGGAACTTGCTCCAGCCAGATGTGGAGTAAGGGGAAAAGAAACAGGAGTGGGTTTTTAACCCCATTTGCTTTTCAAAACCTTTGTGCCTTTCTTCTAAGCAAGCTTGCTCCAAGCAGGCTGCTGGATGGATTGCAAAAACCATCATGAAAATGATCTGATAAAAATCACCTGGAGCTGAGGGCAAACGAATCACAGGATGGTTTGGGTTGGAAGGGACCTTAAAGTCCAAACAGTCCCATGCCTGCCATGGGCAGGGACACCTTCCACTGTCCCAGTGTGCTCCCAGCCCCAATGTCCAGCCTGGCCTTGGACACTGCCAGGGATCCAGGGGCAGCCACAGCTTCTCTGGGCACCCTGTGCCAGGGCCTCCCCACCCTGACAGGGAGGAATTCTTTCTCAATATCCCATCCATCCCCACCCTCTGTCTATGTGAAGTCATTCCCTGTGTCCTGTCCTTCCATCCCCTGTCCCCAGTCCCTCTCCAGCTCTCCTGGAGCCCCTTCAAGCCCTGGAATGGGGAAGGGAAGATGTGAAAGGTGAACAGTGCGTTCAAAAAAACCCCTGCAATCCAAGGAAATCAGCTCCATCCCACACTTCCAGAAACTTGGGCTGGATCTGATGCTTCACACTAGGACTGGCCATGCACCAGGACACTGCACCTTCCTGCAGGAGCCCCGAGTCCCCCCCAAAAATCCTCACCTCCTTCCAGATATAGTAGTGGCTCAGGAAGCAGCCGATCTCCCCTCTGGTCAGGGGCCTGGAGGAATAGGGGTCCCGGTACCCCGGCAGCATTTCGATGCTGAGAGCTTTGAGCTGACTTGTGTTCAGTGCTCTGAGAGGCAGAGAGCATCCATCAGCATTGCAAAAAAAGAGTCAATTCAAGCCACACAAGGCACAGCACAGGGAATGCTGCTGATGCTTGGGGAAAAGACATGCCTCGAGAAAATCCTATGTTTGTTTCACTCAAAAACACAGAGGAAAATGAACTTCTTGATTTACATCTCCAAATCAAGCTGATAAATCATATCCTTAGCTCTGCCAGAGACTTCTGATGGGACCATCAATTATCTTTAACTCTGCCAAAAACTTCTTGTGGGACCATGCACTTGCCAGGTCTGATTACCTTTCTAAATGGCCCTGATGCGTTCCCAAGTGCCCAGGACCACTAGATGGCATGTGGGCTCCTGTCTCTATGAGGCCCTTCTGTACCTCACAGTCTCAAAATTTCTGCCTCCATTTCTCATTACAGAAAGGTCTTGACATACCTCAGAATCATGGAATCACTAAGGTTGGAAAAGCCCTTTAATATCCTCAAATCCAACCATTAACCCAGCAGTTCTCCCAGGGATGGGGCTTCCACCCCTGCCCTGGGCAGCCTGTGCCGGTAGTGCCTGACCACTCGTTTTTTATGAAGGAATTTTTCCCGTTGTCCTGCCTGGTCCAGCCTGAGGCTGTTCCCTCTCCTCCTGTCCCTGTTCCCTGGAGCACAGCCCGACCCCCCCGGCTGTCCCCTCCTGTCAGGGAATTGTGCAGAGCCACAAGGTCCCCCCAGAGCCTCCTTTGCTCCAGGCTGAACCCCTTTCCCAGCTGTCCCGCATCAGATTTGTGCTCAGACCCCAGACTGAGCTTGGCAAAGGCTAATGCTGCAGCACCACAGCTCTGCAGCACCAGAATGGACAATATTCAAAGGAGTTAACTGCTCAATTCATAGAAAACGACATGATTTCAGCCTGATTTTAACCTGATTCTGGCCTTAGTCTGAAGCCCACTTAGTCTGAAGTCCTGGYTTTCTCACAGTAGCTGACTGATTGCAAAGGAAGACACAAACAGAGCAGAACTGCCCCAAACAGGCAGTCAGGGAGACTCAAGAGGTGCTCAGCCTCAGCCCCGCCAGAAGGAGCTCAGGGCACCCAAGCAGATGCTGTGAAACAGTAAAGCACATTTCACTCTCAAAACAGCCTCAAGCCCGACCGAAACTCACTTTCCATCCACAGCCTCCACTACCTTCACAGCAATCTCCTGCTCGTAGAGCGTCCGCAGCATCCGATCCCGCCGGTCCTTGCGGCGCTTCAGGTTGATCATGAAAATCTGCGGGGAACAGAGAGACATCAGGACATCCCATACCAGCTGGGAGAAAGGGAGGGAAAAGGGGAGTCCTGATCCACCCTTCCCCAGCAGCCCCACTGGAAAGGCAGTTTTGTGAAAGTATCAGGGATGTTTTCATTCCGGATCGCTTAGAATTCGTCAAAAAGCTGGAGTTGGCTTTGAGTTGAAATCTCAGAGATTTGCTCCCCAACAACCACTTTTTATGGATGTTCACGGGGGAAACTTGCTGTGTGAGGATGAAGAGAAGTGAGGGGAGCCCAGATAGAGCCAAGTCTGTAATTCCCAGAGACACAGGATATTTAGGTTTGTATCAAACAGAGCAATGGGACCATCAGCAGTGTTGGTCCCATAGGAACCCTGACCCGCAGTGCTGCAACACACACAGCCAGCCCGGGTTCAGCTTCAGGGATCCCAAAAACAGAGCAGGACATCCCAAGAGGACAAAGGCTCCCCTGACCCCACAAGTCCCTTGGTGCCAGAGCCACCCTGGCAGCTGCAGGCTCTGGGAACAACACACACACCAGGCAAAGCCTGGCCTGTCCCTCTCCAGCTTTCTCCCCAGGAATGGTTTGCATCCCTAGGGGCATCCAGACTGGGCCAGAACGCAGCTGGATACCCCACCTGCCCCCAGTGTCTCTCTCAGGTGACAGAAATCCTTCCTTCCTGCCACTGGAAAGCTGGAAAGCTTTCCCAAAGGACCAGTTTGTGTCACAGACAGGAGGAAGGCTGAGATGCTCCGCAGAATCAGATGCAGAGCACACAACACAAGGACTAGGAAGTTAAATAAGCTGCTCCTCAGCCTCTCTCCTGGCTGAATTACAACACAGAATCACAGCACAGTTTCAGGTGGAAGGGACATCGAGATCTGGTGGTGAATTGGAAGAGAAGACAATAAACAGAAACAAATCCTTACTTCATCAAACCCCATCTTGCTGGGGCGCTTCGGGGGGACAGAGATGTATTGGGAGGGCTCCACGGGAGGGCGATCAACTGAAAGAGAAGAGAGACCCTAAAAGGTCACCCTGTGCACTCCCTGCACCACAGGCCCCAGGGATTTGGGATCAGGAGGGAACAGAAGAATGGGAACAGCAGGAGAGAACAGCAGAATGGGAACAGCAGCATGGGAACAGCAGGAAGCATCCTCACAGCAGAGGCAGAGCCAGCAGCCACGGGCCAGACACACATCAGGGAGAGGACATGGACATGCAGCAGCTCTTCCACACCAGAGATGCATTTGATCTGGGGAAGCTGGTGGATTCTGTGGATAGGCCTGCCCTGACTGTGAAGCAATTACATCCCCAGGTGTAATTTCAGAAAGCTGTGCATCCAAACAACGTGAGGGCAGCCAGATGAGGGTGCAGGCTCCCAGGGGAAGGAGAGCTGGCAGGAGAACTCTGCAGGGATGAACTGGGGAGTCCCTCATGGCTGGGCACAGCAACTCACTCATGGCCTCGATCAGGGTGTGCACGAAGTTCTCAGCCTCCTCCTGCAGTGACTGTTGTGGCTTCAGTGGCATGGGCAGGGAGCCGTAGTGCTCGCGGTTGCAGATGAACATCTGGACTCCTGGGGATCACACAAAGCACAGGCTGCACTCAGGGCACCTCCCTGCTCTCTGCTGCACAGCCACAACCACACTCCTGCCAGGACCTTGGCTCCAAAAAGCTCTGCTTCACAGGCAAACAACCCAAAATCATTCCAGTTCTGGTTCTGTTTTGCCTGGCTGGCAGCAAGCGGCCTCTGCCCTAAAACCAATTCCTACTGACCAACCCTGCAAGGGCCTGGAGTGACAAGACAGGGGATGATGGCTTCCCACTGAACAGATATTGGATACTGGGGACAAATTCCTCCCTAGGAAGGTGGGGAGGCCCTGGCACAGGGTGTCCAGAGAAGCTGTGGCTGCCCCTGGATCCCTGGAAGTGTCCAAGGGCTTGGAGCAGCCTGGGATAGAAGAGGGTGTCCCTTGAACAAGCTGATCTTTAAGGCTCCTTCTAACCCAAACTATTCTGTTCTTTATCACTGCTTCCTTTTGCTCTGCTAGGAAATAAAGGTGATACATTTTCATCCATGCTGGCAAGGGAGTTCGAGGAATACAAATGACAACGACCTTGGAAGTGTCAAGTTACCACCAAACACGGTCCTTTCCTCTCCAGGACTGAGAGAGTAAACTGCGCCCTGAAGATGAAAGGAAAACACCAGAGTGAGACACCAGTGAAGAGAACAGATGTGATAACATGACACCCTTTTACTCACAAGCTTTTCAACTGCTTGTTGAAGGTGGAAACAAAAGGAAGGTGCAAAGCCCGTCCTGGAGCCACCCAGTGGAAACATCCCAGCACCAGCAAAATCTGGGATGACAAGAATTTGTTCACCACTGGCTGTAACTGTGTCTGTCACATCAGGCAGCATTCAAAAGCCACATCCAGAGAAGCCTGGGGAAGTATTTCTGTTGTTTTTCACTGAGTTCTGGTAAGGTCCTTTATTAACTAATCCCCATCAAAGCTGCTAGAACCCACATAACTGGCCCAAAAAATGCCTTTTTTTTTTTTTTAATGGAACAAGCTCAACCAGCCCCCTCCCTCGAGGAAATAAATGAAAAGCAGACACTACCTGGTGTGCTGATGCTTTCATCTGTTGGTGCCCCTAATCCCTGGTATTTTTAGCCGAGCGGAACTGTCGGCACTAATGACCCCAGTGTTTCTCTCATTTTTGAGTTCCACATGTAATTTGCTGGCTGTGCTACTTGCCAAAACACATTCAGCTGTCAGCTGCAATTCAGGTAAAGGGCAGAATAAAAAAATGCTACCTGCTGACATTAATGGGTTTGGCACTGATCTGATCAACTAATCTCGTGTGGCTCGCTGATCTCCGTTCTTGTCTTCCGCTGCCTTGGACACACTTCATCTGCATGGGTTCACCCAGTGTTCCTGCTCTTTCTGGGATAAAACCTTCTTGAGAGTGGTAAAGCTCCTATAAAATGGAGAGGGGGGGTTTGCTCTCCAGCCCTATTTTTATAATAAAGTTAAATGATTTCTACAAGGGACAGAAAAGCTACAGGTATTTGTGCTGTTATTCTTAATAAGCTTCAAAGGCAGTGTCCAGGGTTTACAGTCATGTCCTAAAATCACAGCCATGGTTAAGGAACCTAAATTGTCCCTACTTCCTGGTGACCAAACCTTCCTGCTGGCTGGCTGGCTCAGGGGCTGCAGAGCCCCAGGCTGCAAGGCAGTTCAGAAGATCATGGAATGGCTTGGGCTGGAAGGGACCTAAAATCCCATCTCATCCCATCCCTGCCATGGGCAGGGACACCTTCCACTGTCCCAGGCTGCTCCAAGCCCCAATGTCCAGCCTGGCCTTGGACACTGCCAGGGATCCAGGGGCAGCCACAGCTTCTCTGGGCACCCTGTGCCAGGGCCTCCCCACCCTCACAGGAACGATTCCTCCCCAATATCCCATCCATCCCTGCCCTTTCCCAGTGGGAAGCCATTCCCTGTGTCCTGTCCCTCCATCCCTTGTCCCCAGTCCCTCTCCAGCTCTCTTGGAGCCCCTTTAGGTCCTGGAAGGGGCTCTGAGGTTTCACCTGAGCCTCCTTTTCTGCAGGCTGAGCTGTCTGGCTGAAAGCTCTCCTGTGAGTGCAGAGCTCTGTAGAATCCAGTGCTGACAGTGACACAGCTGCTCTGAGGTTTGTTCAGAGTCAGGGCTCCCACACAGGCCCATCCTCTCACAGAGGTGTGTCCTTCCAGCAGCACATTATCTGCTGGAAATCAATAGGATGATCTGAGGCATCGAGCACAGCACTCGCCCTGGACCAAGAACAACACAGTTTCTGACTGCAGGGAAGGCAAATGAAATTACTGCAAAGAGAAATCTACCTTGAAGCTCACACATTTCTCACATTTCTGAACTGGGATGTCATTCTTTTATCCTGGGTGACAAAACTCAGCCCAGGACACGAGCCAACGATCTGAGCAGATCAACTGGCCAGACAGCTGGAACAAAGCCCTGCATGTCATGGGTCAGTCCTGGAAAAAGCTAAAGTGTTCTGGGACAGAAGGAAAAAATGATGGGTTTGAGTCCCTGGAATATTCCTGAAGCAGCTGGAGCTGATGCACTGCAGTCACCCCATGGGCTGGGGGCTGCCCTGCTGGAGAGCTGCAGAAGGAAGAGCATGGCAGGTCTGGAGCAGCCTGTTCTGCTCTCCAAACTCAAACTTCAGCTGTGCCCAGAGCCGAGATGTGGCACCTGGGACTAGTCTCTTGGCCCTGCACAATGTCCTGACTCAGGCAGGACCCTGGAGCTGCTCTGCAATTCCCTCTCACCTCTGGCTCCCACAGGCTCCAGCTCTGCTGCCTCTCCTCCATGGCATCTGACACTCCTCATCCTCTCACAGCTGATCTGAGAACGTCCTGCTCAGCCTGAAAGCACAGCCCTATCCTTCTTGGTGCTGTCAACACCCAGAGCCACCACCCCACCCCAAAGGAAGCTGCAGGCAGCTGGGGGCTGCTGTGCTGGGCTGGGAGCAATGGGAAGGGAGGCTCAGCCTGCACAACAACAACAGCAAGAACAACCCTTCCTCCCTTGGCTTTCTCCCTGCCTGCCTGCTCCCCAGGGCAGCCTTTCCTGCTCCCCTGAACTCTGTGCCTTCTGCAGAGGACAGGGAGCACCAACTGCACATCACTCAAAGAACCATGAACAACTTTTTCCTGCAAATCACCAACTCTGCCACGATCTCTGAACAGAAGACACTTGTGGGTGCTGCTGAGGTTTCACCAATCCCTTTCTCCTCACAATCCCCCAAACCTTTCCCTCTCCAACACAGCAGAGGAAGAACACCACAGATGGCCATGACAGAGCCCCCTGAGCTCTGACTCTGCCCCACACAGCTCTGCCAGCCTGGGCTCTGCTGCAGGCACACCACTCCCAGAGCCACTCCCCAGAAACAATCAGTACCAAACATCCTCCTCACAAGCACCCACACCAGCAGCATCAGCCACTTCAGAGACAGGGGCGTCCCAGAGACACCTGGAGCTCCCTTCCAATATCAATGGCCAGAGATTTCCTCTGCCTGCAAGTGCCCAAGGTGAGGCTGGACAGGGCTTGGAGCAACCTTGTCTGGTGGAAGGTGTCCCTGCCCATGGCATGGGGCTGGAATGAGATGAGCTTTAAGGTCCCTCCCAACCCAAACTGATCTAGGATTTGATGGTTTGAGAGTCTCTTGCTCTCACCCTTTCCTCATGGATCTTTTGGAAAAGGTGACTTTATATACCTCACCTCCAGACTCTCTTCCACCCTCCCAGCACCCTCCTGTGTTCACCTGCTGTGACACAAACCAAGGGTGTAGTTCCACATTTTGGCTCTGAAACATTGCCCCACACCAAGGACAGCCCCCTCATCCTTTGAATCCAAAAGCACCTTCCCAAACCCTTGCTGCTGGTTATCCCTGACTGGACCCCAGAGAGGACAGGGAACAGGGTCTGAACTGCCCACTGAAGTGCCCCCAGGATCCAGGGCTGTGAAGGTGCAGTGCTGTGTGTCCCCAGCAGTGACCCCTCCCCAGCAGAGGCTCTGGACACACCTGCCTGGCGGCTGGAGAAGGCAAAGACCATAATGTCATCGAAGGTCCAGGTGTAGTCCTGGTGTGGGGGATAGAAAGCCAGTTTGGTGGAGGCCTCCTTCCTCAGGTCGATGAGGAACGTGGAATGGATCATGGGGACAGCAAAACAACCCATCCTCTTCCATTCCCGGATCAGGGGGTACTCCAGGGTCCTTTTGTAATAGCCCTGAAAACACAAAGATTACAATTAAAACTGTTAGAAGAGATTGCTGTTTCCAAGATGTTCCTCAGCAAAAGCTCACACCCCGAGCTCTCCAGCAGAGCTTCACCAGGTCTCAACTCTCAGCTTTTTCAGTGGCACCCACTTGGAAAGGGCTCAGTCAAATATTTAGAATAGTTGAAGACTGACCTTCTCCCTGTTTTCAGGTAGCTCATGGAGACCAAGCCTTTCCACTGCAAAATTCCCCTGCAATGGATCCTTCAAACCTCAGATTATTTTATCCTGGCTCTTCAAAATGCTTTTTGCACTAAAGACTCTCTAGCCTGATTCTCACAGCTGCTCAGCCACCATGACACCCTCCACATTCAACAGGCACAAAGTCCATTTAGTACCTCAGAGAGTAAGATCTGCCAATTAATTCTATCCACAACTTTAAAAAAAAAAATTGTCACTGCGTGAAGGCAGCGCCTTCTCCATCAGCTGTGTGAGAATCCACTGCAAGGCAAGCAGGTTTGATGCTTACTTCTGAGTGTGCCATGGGAGGCAGCTCCTGGGTCCCTGCATCCAGGAGCTCTGCCAGCTTCCAGCACTGGGGGTGCAACACCCTCGGGTGTGGAAATAAACACACTGAACTCCTCCAAGGAGAAAATCCTACAGCCAGGTACCTTTGCTGGTTTTCCCCTGTCCTTTTTCAGCTGATGCTGGTGGAAAGCTCCTGCTGGGGACACAGGGCTGGGGCTGGTGCACACAGGCAGGGATCCACTCCAGCCTGTAGGTGTACCCCAGTGGGAAACATGGCTGACTTGGGGCTTGGCCTCACAAACCTAAAGCACCATCAACACCTCTTCTGTGGAGTTTGTATCTCCATTTTCAAACAAAGTAAACACAAGTAAAAAAACCCAAGTGAAACAAGTAAACACAGCTCCCCACACCCCTTTTCTTATCTCTGCATTTACTTCCCAAGAATTTGGAAAGTTCAGGACTTTTTCCTGAAATATTTTTTCATCCCATTACTTAGTCTGAACTGTGGAACTCCTTGCCATAAGATGGTGTGGGTGTCAAAACATAGATTCAGACAGGGATTTCTGTAGGAGAAAAAAACCACTGAGAGCTTTAAAGATAAATACTTTTTTTCAAAAACCCAGAAGGGGACTGCCAGAGGATGGAAAAGCATTTTGGGGAAGTACCACTCACTTTTTTACCATATTCCCTAGAACAGTGGATTCTGCAGATGAACCTGTGCTCTGACACAGTACAGCTGTTCTGAAGTAACATGAAAAGGTAACACTGAACAGGAAATGTGAAACTCTGATTTTTAGGCTCAGCACATGCATCGGTTATATGCATACTTCAGCACACACACACTTCAGCACACACACACCGCTGCAAGGCAAAGGATGTGCCCCACCACATAAATCTTGCTCACAGGTGAGAAAGATAACTTAGACACAATGGCGAGCTGTGGAAAGAAAAGCAAATTCCTCTTGGATTAGCATCACTGTACAGAGAAACTGCCTTAAAATCATGCACCAAGGGTTTTAAGGCCATTACAGAAACACACAGAGCCATCTTAAAAAACCTGTCATCTGTTTCTCAGTGGTTTTTGTGCAATTGGTGGGGCTGTACCACATGTTAACACCACCTCAGAGCCACAGCAGCTTCTGCCCATGAGAAAGAGGCTGCAGCAGCAGATGGGGAAGCCCAGCAAACAGGAGGGATGCCTGCTGCTCTGGGGACAGGGACAGGAGTTCCTGGGGACACCATTCCCCCAGCCCCAGCRCAAGGTGACCTGCCTGGGGCGTGATGCCACACCAGAAGTTGGAGTAGAGCGAGCGCGACTCGAGCATCGGTGCCACCAGCGTCTTGTTCTCTGCCATCAGCAGCTCCAGGGTCTGGGGGTTGGTCAGTAAATTATCTGCATCAACAAACTGGAGAAGGAAGAGGACCTTGTTAGCAGGTGAAACGATGATTCCCCTGATGCTTTGCTGGGAATGAGGCACCAGAGGCACACGAGCAGCCCCGGTGTGGCCACAGGCCCAGGGCAGTGCCCGTCCCCTGCGCTGGCACTGCTGGGGCATCTCTGGCCCCTCACAATGAGAACAGCCCTGGAGGGGCTGGAGCATGTCCAGGGAAGGGAACAGAGCTGGAGAAGGGGCTGGAGCCCCAGGAGCGGCTGGGGGAGCTGGGAAAGGGGCTCAGCCTGGAGCAAAGGAGGAACAGGGGGGACCTTGTGGACCTGCACAACTCCCTGACAGGAGGGGGCAGCCAGAGGGATCAGGCTCTGCTCCCAGGGATACTTCAGACTGGGTATTAGGGAAAATTTCTCCTAAAGGAGTGGTCAGGCATTGGAAAAGGCTGCCCAGGGCAGGGGCATCCAGGGTGGAGCTGCCATCCCTGGAAGCGTTTGAAAAATGTGTGGATGTGGCACTTGGGAATGGGGCTTAACGGCGAACATGGCAGGCCAACAACTGGACTCTGAGATCTCAGGTCTTTTCCAGCATTAACAATTCTGTGATTCCATGAGGTTGGCAAAAAACACCCTAAAGGCAGTGATCTGGAGGGGTTTGACTGCACAGGGCACAGGGCTGCCCCTCAGCGCAGCAGGGAGATGGGCAGAGATTCCCTGACCCCACAGCAGCACAGGGAGCAGGGAGCTGCGAGGGAAAACACCATCACTGGAAATTCAGGATGAGTTCACTCTGTGAAGACCTTCAAGAACAAATCCTAAAGTGCCCTCACAGCTTGCCCTGCCCAGAGGCTGTGGGAACACCCCCTCATGTTGGTCAAAGGCAGCATCTTCCCACAGCTGCTCCACACAACAGGCAGATCCCAGTGAGGAATAAAAATCCAGGACTCGGAAACGGTGCCAGCATAACTCAGGGAAGGAGCTAAGAATTTCAAAAGCTTTTTCCACAACATGAAAAAAGTTTCCCTTCCATTTCACCAGGTGGAGATGCTTGAGGCACCTCCCACCACCAGGACTCTGCTCAGTCCTGTGCCTGTGGAGAAATTTTAAGCTCACCCAAAGACTCTCTTCCCTCACCACAAAGTCTCTAGCTCACCAGAGCAAGAAATGACCCACAACATCTCAATTTGTTTTTAGATGGAGAGGAACCTTTCTGACAGCCCCCAGTATCCAGTGAGCACATGGAAAGCTTTTGCCTGAGGCCAGCCAATAAACCAAACCAGGTATTTACCAGGATGTAGTCTGACCACTTCTCGCGGGCGGCACGCAGGGCAGCCTGGCGCAGCTTCATCACATGAGTGAATCGGGAGCTTGGCCAATGCTTTGGGCCAATTTCTTCTGGGTAAGACCTAGAAAAGGAAAAAAAAAGGACTGTAATCCATGTCTGGGCTTTCTTACAACAGTCAAAACAAAACAAAAAAAAAAAAACAACAAAAAGAAAGAGTTTCCTTGCTGCCTTCATTATGAACGAACTGCATCTTATTCTGTAAATTTTGTCCAGACCCTGTTTTAGGTGAGCCCAGATCAGGCACCTAAGGCAGCCCAGCCTCCCTGGGCTCTGAGCATCATTAGGAACCGTCCCCCCATCCTGGGACAGCTCCTGAATGTCCCAAGGCATGGCTCTGGCACTGTCCCACAGGTGGCTCTGCCTTCGGGGCAGCTCCAAAAGCTTTGTAACAAACATGGGAGGGAACTTCAGGACAGATCCCAGTGAGGAAAAAGAATCCAGGACTAGGAAACAGTGCCAGCATAAGTCAGGCTAGGAGCTAAGAATTTTAAAAGCTTTCTGCAGAACTTAAAAGTTTGGCAGGATGAAGAAAACTCTATTCAAATCAAAGGATTAAAAATGTCAATAAAACCAGCATTCCCTGGGGGTCTGTACCACAAATTCCCCACCACTGCAGTGAGGAAGTCGAATACAAAAGCAAGCCTAAAGGAAGGGGAAACTGATGTAATTTTCCTTGATGGATGAAATGGAACACAGAACAAACCCAGGAACAGCTGATCTTAAAAATAAATAAAAATTGAAGTAATAAAAACCCAACACATCATATTTCAAAGCAATGGTCCTGCAAGTCATGCAAAGGCATAATATGCTGAATTCTAGTTCTCTAGCTCAGCACTTACTGAATATTTGGTGTCTCAGAGCTTTCATAGAGGCAATGAAATGGGCTTTAATTTCTCTGCTTCCTTGCAAATAAAGAATGATTACTCTAATTCCCTGTAGCTCTTGATGTAATTTGTTTACCATGCAAAGAGAGCAGCTACAGATGCTAAATAACTGAATGGAAAATACCTTCTTCCACGAAATTCTGCACGACGTGCTTCACTGAACTCAGAGACCTTTCCACAGAGACCTCACCTTGCCTTTTTCCATAAGAAGGCAATTTTAATGGGACAGACCCCAGAAAACAAACAATCCACAATTTTCATGCTTGACATTGAGTCCAGCTCCTGGTTTGGAAAGAGGGAACCTGAGGAACGTGGGCTGTGCAGGCAGGAGCCCCTGCCAGGTACTCACGGGGGTTCCTCCATGGGCCGCCACTCCACGTCGTGGTACAGGTGCTGCACGTTCTTCAGCCACTCCCTGAGCATGGCTGTGGTGTTGTCAATGTTGTGGTCAGTGGCTGCCCTGGCAAAGCAAGAGCACAGCAAGAGCGTCAGTATGAGGTTTGTGTCCTGTGCCTTAACCCCTGCTGTGCCACAGGGTGCTCTGTCCAGTGCAGCCACCCAAAAAGACAGCACAACCCCAGCTGGCAGCTGAGTGCCACCCTGCTGGTTCCATGGGGTGGGGAGGAGACCCAGGAAAGGGCACAAAACCCGGGAGCTGAGATAAGAACAGTTTAATAACCAAAACAAATAGCTGCAATGTGCTGTCAGTGCAGGGAAGGCACGCAGCGCTCACTGGAGAATGGATTTTTTCTGCAGGGTTGAGCTGCAGAGGCTGGAACGGGAGGCACAGATTCATATTCTCTGCCTATGGTGCTCAAGTCTTTGGGGCACAGGAGGGGTGAACCAGTTCCACCCCAGTTCCTCTTCCCCAGGACCAGGGCTTTGCACAGGGCTGGGGCAGATCCCACCATACATTCCCTTCACCAGAAGGACTGCTTGTTTTTCCTGGCTGCAGTGGGCAGGAAAGCACAGCCCCATGGCAGGGCACAGCTCAGCAGGCTCCTGTAAAGGGAATTTATAATCCCTTCCTATCCCTCGGGGAGTACAGGCAGTCCCAAAAGGTCCCGCGGAGACAGGAAAGGCGGTGTCAAACACATCACTGAGGGGACGGTGCTGGAAACCCCCCTCAACTGCTACAAACTTCTTGTTTCACCCTCAGGCACCTCCCAGGGCATCCTGCACCTTACTGAAAGACAGAGCTCCCTGGAAAAGAGAAAAGAAAGAAAGGAGCCATATCCCAAACCCGACAGCTACTCCAAAGCTATTTCAGGAGAACACCTCCACTCCAAGTCACCCCATGACCCTACAGATGAAAAGCAGGGCATGAACCCTTTTCAGCTCAGGCAGCAAGAACATAGCATTCCCATGGGCTCTAGCCTGCTCTAAATTAAAACAGAACCAAGAACTGGTATTTTCAGTTTATTTCTCATCAGAACATCACAATCGCTTTAGGCCAGGAAGATTATTTGTAGAATATTTATTCCCATCTGTTGAAACAATAAACAGTGAGAGTTCAGCATGAGAAGAGGGGCTGGTTCCTGTGCCATTAAATCTCTCCTGTGTCAGAGCAAGGCTGGGCTCACTCATGGCTCCACCAGGGTGTGTTTGTTACCAAGCCTGGTTCACRCTGCGCTGTACATGCAGTTTGCAGTGATGTCTGGATGGGCCCAGAACAGCCCCAGTGATGACCTGGGGCTGCCCAGCTTGCTCCATGGGTTTGATGGACAAAGCACATCCCCTGGAGCCCCTTTTCACACAATTCTCTGGGCTTCCACAGCTACCATGGCATCCCACAGGTCCTGTTCGGCTTCCCTCCCACGCTCCAGCTGCACATGCAGCTCCACAATTCCTGAAATACCAGAGAACTGGGAAAATAGCCTCATGTTCATGGTCACTGCTGGGGCTGCAGTGGCACCAAGAAGGTCCTGCCCTACACTCTGGGCATCACATAAACGAGGCTGAGACAGCAGAGGCCACCTGGGGAATGCCACAGTTCACCCCACAACATCCTCTTTGCCATTCCAGACCAGCCTCAAGAACCATGGAGACTGTTAGAGTCAGCACACAGCTCCCATGGGGTCAGGTCCATGGGCCTGTTCCCCTCAGCAAGTCTCATCCCACTCCTTCTAACCCCATCCCAGTCCTTCTAATGCCAGCCCTTGACAAAATTTACCCAGGAGACACCACCAGCCAACATCCTCCAAGCAGCAGTGAAACGTGTGAATGGGAGACAAAGGAATCTCTACATCTACCCACAAAGAATCTGCTGGGAGAAAAAAGGCATTTTCCAACCAAACCATTCCACAATTCCATGACTTTACTGCCCAGGCTGTCACGGTGACCCCACAAAGGTAAATTCACATCCCAGCAGACCCCTTGAGTACACGGATGAGCCAAGGCTCTGGCTCAAAGCAGGGACAGCTCTCTCCAGGACTGTCCACCCAGCAGCATTTCTCAGCCCAAAAGCCCTCAAAGGCAATAAAGTCTGTTCCACACTGGATGAAATATGCCCTATGGCTAGCAGTTTGGCAAACGTTTGTTTTTCCAGCTCGGAGCTCAAAAAAACCCAACCAAAGAAAAACCGCAAAACCAAACCAATAGAAAAGACCCAAAAATCCAAACAACCCAAGCCATTACAAAAGCAATTATCACTGTTAGTTCCAAAATAATTAAATTAAGATCAAACAGCATCAGCACTGACTCCTATTGTAGTGCCTGAACCAGTCCACCTTTCCCCCTAGAAAAAAACCAGCAGCAATGATGTTTGCAATAACACTGTGTGGAAAAACAGGCACTTACTTTATTTTTCCCTCCTTTTTTTTTTTTCCCCTGAAATGACAACCTCTGCACAAGAAAAACAGGCTAATTAAAATGTGAGCAGGACTTGCCACGGGGAGCAAGAGCTCCTGAAGCTCTGAGAGGCACATCAGGACACTCCACATTACAAACACCTCTTTGGCAGGACTTCAGGAAGCCGAGTACACTGCTCAGACTGCAGCTCCATGCTGAGAACTTGTCACACAAGAGATGCTATCACCTCTCCCTGCTTGCCTGTCCTAAAAAAGTATTTTCAATCCATCCTCTGATCTTTACTGGTCCATGGTCTGCACTTGACAGGACAAGGAGAGTGAATCACTGTGACCCAGCTCCATGAGCTCACCAAGAGCATGGTTTGTCCATATGGTCCTTAGAATGAGGCAGTGCCTGCATTTTTGGGTGTATTTTCTCAAAGCACAGCACTATAATTTGTGTGTGAGTCTATCACACTGCTGATCTGGCATCAGGTTCAAATCCTGGCTTTGGGTGGATCAGCAACATCATTTTCAAGAGCTGACTAAATGAATTCAAAATTTAATCAAGGAAAAAAAGGTGCCCTACAAGATTTACAACCTGAAGCCTGTGCAGGTTGTAAAAAATGGAGGGAAAAAAATTCTAATTCATTCTACTCTTTTTAGAAAAGGAAGTTTAATAAATAAATCAGAGCACACCTCCAGGTGGACACCTATATTCCAGTAACACAGAAGTTTTTTCCACTCGGATTTAAACCCATTTCCAATAAACAGAATTTAAATTTCTGAAAAGTTCTGAACACTGAGAATGTTCATATAGGGGCTCATGTCGGCATAACTACAACCACTTCAATATTTACTTTGGCTCTACCCAGGAGTGGTACCATGGACACAAGCCCTCATTGTTCACACTCAGCAAAGCACCCCCTCCCAAAAAAACTCGTGGATCGTGCACGGTGGAAAAGCAAAGCAGGATGCTAAGCACCTCCTGTTTTAATTGGGTAATGTGAGGAGCAGCACAGGAGGAAAAGGGCTCCTTTTACAAACTGCTCGTATTTTTAGCTTGATAATGTCTCCTCCAACCATGTTTGCAGAGAGAGTTAATTTAGGCTTTGATGGCTGGTCTCCTCTTTCCCTCCCCAAAAAGGGATTTAAAAATAACAATCCCCCTTTTTCACTTCTTCACACCCTGGCCTGTTCTCCCAGGCTATTTACAATTTATTTACCTCAGGCACTGGGTCAGAGGAGAAAATTTTCACCTTCACCATCTGCATAGGAAAAGTACTGAGGACAAAATGCACCCTGTGTGCAGCCAGCCTGTCACAGCACAGGGCACACTGTGACCCAAGCTGTGGCAAACCCCACAGCCAGGGCCCTGCAGGAATTTTTCTACTGAATTTAACAATTCCCCACCTTTTCCCTTGGGCACACGGGGTGGAAGGGATGGCTTCCAACAGGAGTCAGTGCTTCACCGGAGTCAGGACTGCAGGCAGTCAGCTTTCAGAAACAAAGGCTGTGAGGAGGCTCTTTTCCCTTCCTGTCAGTGCTTTGAGCACAGCTGGGCTTGAGGAGGGTGTTGGGGTCACCCTTGAGGCTGTGAGTGCCAAAGCTGTGCAGCAGCCAGGCTCCAGAGGGCCTGCTGAGGACATCCAAAGGGTGGCAATGCTCAGGGTGCTGCTGCTGCTGGGCTTCCCATGACAATGGCTCATGTGAAGAGGATGCACGTGGCATTCCAGGCCTCCTGCTGCCTCCATGAACTGCAGAATCAAGCTGGGAATGCAACCAAGTCCCAGGAAACCCTGGGGATATTCATTTTAACCATCTCCCTCGGTTCCTCTTTCTGCCTGCAGCCAGGGATTCAATTCACCCATGAGGCTTGCTATGGGATGTGCTACAACACTGAGCTCCACTGAAGCGAGAGCCATGGGCTGGCCACGCGCCCTAAACCCACAGGGTCTCTGCAGAGCCAAGCCCAGAGTCAGTGGAAGCCTGTCAGAACATTCCTAACAACTGCAGCACAGAAACCGGTGACAAAAGCACCAGCAGCTCCCCTGGGCTCCCACCGAGCCGAGCAGCAACAAAACATTCAGAGGGAGGTTACAGCTCAGACCAAGGGATGGGGGAAGCACACTTCTGTGTGCTCTGCCCAGAACTTGGGCTGACAGAGGTGCTTAAACACTCACAGACACAGCTCACACCTCAGAGCAGGGCTCAGCATCTTCCCCAGCACCTTCTGAGCTGAACCAGCACCGACAGCATAGGGAGAGCCCCCAATGGCCTGGGGAGTGCCCCTGATGCTCTGGGGAGTGCCCCTAATGCTCTGGGGAGTGAGCCCAATGCTCTGGGAGTGCCCCCAATGCCACGGGGAGTGCCCCCAATGCTCTGGGGAGTGCCCCTGATGCTCTGGGGAGTGCCCCTAATGCTCTGGGGAGTGCCCCCAATGCTCTGGGGAGTGAGCCCAATGCTCGGGGAGTGCCCCCAATGCTCTGGGAGTGCCCCCAATGCTCTGGGGAGTGCCCCCAATGCTCTGGGGAGTGCCCC